AAAGTATCACCTGTGGCTATCTGACTAGATATTACGCTTGCCTCATCTATGTGTAAAGAGGAAACAACAAGTTTAATACGTCAAGCTCTCAGTACATCATAAAACAATAATAATGCTTTCTCTATTTAAACATACGCACTTAAAAAAACTGTTGTTTTAAATAAATTCCAGTGAAAATTTGAAACTCATATTATGTCAATGGATTGGAAACTGTGCCTCGTCTTTGATGTATATTAAAGGGGCACAACAGACCCCTAAAGCAATTTGGCTTGCTGAGAAGCTTTATGTGTGAAGAGTGTGTCCTATTTTTTTCATTTTGGAAAAAGTACAAGTATCAATAGAAATTGACACGTTTATAAAGTAAACTGGTTACTCCCCCTGGCTTTTAAAACAGACAGAATGTCCTGTTACTTCCTGGTTTTATTAGCTTATTTGCACTGAACTGAAGAGACAGCAATTGCCCAGATCACCTGCCGTACAAAGACTTCTCATTGAGCTGCACTGGGATGTCTGTGATTGGACAGATAGAGAAAATGTGGGCGGGGGTTGGAAAGGGAGGGTTTGCAAAGGCTGCAGACAAGAGATCTTCAGGTTTTTGCAAGCTGTTTTTAGATATAACTCCAATGAAAAAAATGCATAATTAAATACATGCAAGTATTCATTTCGGGTATATCTTCTAAACAGTATGGATGGTACCAGTGGAGGCAAAAGGTAGCAGCATAGACACTTTAAATGCAGGCATGGCTCAAGGCAACCTATTAGCTTAAAAGCTGAAAACAAGCCCAGTCTGCTTTTAACCTGGTTGATGGAATAATTGTTTATATTTTTTATTTATACTGTGCTGACAGATTCAACCTTATAGAGGTATTTGTAACTAGGAGTCATGCTAAAAATGTAGCCCTAACAGTCTAAAAGCTTGTGCTATAACCTGTCCATTTAATTATCGTGGCAAAAGTAACCTCACCACAGGCTCTTGGAGGGGCCTGCTTTTGCCAAAAGACTATGGGCCCTTTAAAAACTTATGTGATTTACACCTCAAGCCCGAGAAGCCACACTGAGCAGAAACTATTAAACACTGGAACACACCAGGCCTCACACTTTTTAACCTGCACCTCGCTCTGCCTATGCGATACTTGCCCCCAAGCTACCAAGCATGCAAATGGACCACACTTGAACGGCATCATCCCCAACCCATAACCCGGCTTACCATGTCACCAGCCATCACTGGCCCGAGGCCCATCCCAAAGGGATCCCTCTCACAGAGTCCAATGGGCTCACAAGCACCCAATCTTTGTAAGAGGTAGCAAAGAGCATACTGAAAACACACCGGGAACAAAATCAGCCCAAACTAGTACAACAGGGCTTCAACCTATAGCGCACGCATAGACCCATCCAAAGTACACCGAGCCAAAACGCTATAACATGTTTAGTCCAGAGCCCCAGATTACACATGCATCTTAAGTTTAGCACTTCTTCTTATAATTTTTTATATATATAAAAATGTGCAAATGTTCCATGTAATTGTTTGTTCTTGATAATGCTCGCCATCGCTATTGTGGCATGGCAGGCATGAATGTCATCTATTGCACAAATAAAATAAAGAATTTTAAAAAGAAACTTATGTGATTTATGTACTTTTGTACTCCAGAAAGAGAGACCGACCGTTAACCCTAATTCCCTGGAACTGTTTTGGGTGATTTTTGGATATGTTGGTCCTCCAGATCGGGGCGATCAGGAAATGTGACTTTTGTGGGGTTTCCATGTGTTTTCGGGGTACTTTCGGGATGTTGTTAAAATGTATGTTTTGTGTGCCTGAAGATAATTACGTTTAGTACAGTTCCTGACTCAATTATCTCCCAGGCACAGGGGAGGGGTTATCGTGTTTTGTGTGGGAGTGTCCTGGACCTGAGAGCCAATGTAATCATGTGTATGTTTTTGCTGTAGTCTAATCTCAGGTCCAGTGGGGAATGCCCCTGGAATATGCAACCAGAAACCCCTTGCATGATGACCTGTATATAAGGCAGTTGTGGCTGCCAATAACTGAGTTCCTCTTCACCCTCAACATAGAGTCTCATCTCATGCTTGGAGGGAACAGCTATATTCACTCTGGGGATTGCTATTCTCTTTATACTCCCTTGGAATATAATCACTAGCTCTTGTAAGAGCTATCCTGCTATATTCTCTGGAGTAGGAGAGGTCTACTCACTGGAAGCTGGATCCTGCTGTAAATATATTATTCATAAAAAATAAAAAAAAATCTTCACTGTAGCATTAAAAAAAAATGAAATGATTGGAAATGGAAATTTAACATGTAGCCCAAGGGGCTAACCTATAACTCCTAATGTCATTATTGATTACATATAAACACAGCCTGTGTGTTAATGTCAAATATATAAACTACATAAAAAAATATATTAGGAATTGAAGTGATGCTGAATCATTTATTAATCATTTAATATTGTTGGGGTTTTTCACATAACTCTGAATTGTGCCGAATTAAAACCCAAATGTAAAATTGAGGCTAAAATAGCAAAGTTGTGACTATAACTATGGTTGGCGAATATTTCCAAGTCTGCTATTACTGCCTACTTTTCGATTGTGTTATATTTAGCACTTTATACCAGAATTACAAAATAACCCCCTAATATAGTCATGAGTTTCTGCATTTTTTTGTACACAAAGTCTTTTGTCACTTTAGTCAATAAATCAGTTCAGTAATTTTTTAGTAGGATTGATTAAAAAAAAGAATAATACTATTAAAAGTAAAACATTTATTTTAAAGTCATCTTGATACATCTACATATCAAATATGTATCCAAGGATTTGGTAGTCACATTATATTCTAGAATCCAAATCCCATCAAAATTGGTTATATCCATGAAATCCTATCAGTGCTTATTTATTAAACTCTGATTTGCAGCCAACAGCTACCCAGATATTAAAATTAAGACTAAAATAGCTGATTTGGCAAGATTCTCCAGCTTAGCATTATTCATAGCTGGGGTATTTTAGCCAGATGCAATTTTATTTCCCTACAATTTAGAGTTTAGTGAATTTCCCTGTATAGGCAAAAATAAACCATTAATATATAGAAACATAGAAACATAGAACATAGAAACATAGAATGTGATGGCAGATAAGAACCATTCGGCCCATCTAGTCTGCCCAATTTTCTAAATACTTTCATTAGTCCCTAGCCTTATCTTATAGTTAGGATAGCCTTATGCCTATCCCACGCATGCTTAAACTCCTTTACTGTGTTAACCTCTACCACTTCAGCTGGAAGGCTATTCCATGCATCCACTACCCTCTCAGTAAAGTAATACTTCCTGATATTATTTTTAAACCTTTGTCCCTCTAATTTAAGACTATGTCCTCTTGTTGTGGTAGTTTTTCTTCTTTTAAATATAGTCTCCTCCTTTACTGTGTTGATTCCCTTTATATATTTAAATGTTTCTATCATATCCCCCCTGTCTCGTCTTTCCTCCAAGCTATACATGTTAAGATCCTTTAACCTTTCCTGGTAAGTTTTATCCCGCAATCCATGAACCAGTTTAGTAGCCCTTCTCTGAACCCTCTCTAAGGTATCAATATCCTTCTGAAGATACGGTCTCCAGTACTGTGTACAATACTCCAAGTGAGGTCTCACCAGCGTTCTGTACAATGGCATGAGCACTTCCCTCTTTCTACTGCTAATACCTCTCCCTAAGATAATATACATGGACCTCACCATTTCTGGGCTCCAGCAGCCTGCTGCTAATCTTGGAGTATGATAGGTCTCGCTTTATCGCTAAATAGTTTACAGCAGTTTGGGTTATCAATTTTATATCATAAAATCCCACTAAAACACAACGTGCATGTCTCTTGCACAATGTATATTAAAACAAGAAATCGCTTGGCTTTATTTCATGTTGGTAAATGGATTGTTGCATGGCTTTAGATCTACAACATCTTTGGACTGAAACTCCTATGATTCAGAGGCAAACAGAAGTTATATCTTACAAAACTCGCATTTCCCAACAAGACACAGGCAGGGGTGACCATTAAGAAATCTATCATTCTTGTGATCCTCAACTGGGTTTTGGGGGTTGCGGGACTGAGGGTCCTGAGAGTTGGATTTCAGCAACTGCTATCTCCCAAAAGGAAATTTCCTTTGCAATATTGAATCCTTAATTCTATAAAATGTGTAAATGTTTTGTGCCCTGACTCCCATATTATGTATGCTGTATACTTTGTTTTAAAATCCCATGTCCCTTCAACATTGGCAGACTTTAAATTGCTTTATATTAACATTTCGTTCATTCACCAGATAACCATATTTCGTCATTGTACTCACTAAAATTTACTGTCTAATTCAGCAAGTGACACTTCTCCTGATTATTGCCTGGGACAGGGTATTAAATGATGCCCTGGCATTTGTGAAAGCTAATTAGAGCCAGGGTGGATAATATGGGCACTCTCTTCCTCAGATGCTGAGCTCCCCAATCACAGAGTGCTGGGTGCCCCTTTAAAAATCAGGCTTCTCTTGGGTCTAATTCTCTCTGCATCAATAGACACAGCTTTTGCATAATGAAAGTCTGAGTGGCATTGGAACCAGGAGAGGAGCAGAGCTTCAGAGGAGGTAACCACAAGCAGGGTCATGGAATGCAAGACAGGGGCAGACTGAAGGAGGGAGAGGAGAAGGTGAAGGAGATACAGGGATGTGGAGATAGAAACAGTCTGTGGGAGAGGAAGAAACAGGGTTAAACAGCAGGGAATGAGGAAGATTGAGAGTGAAAGGAGTAATAGAAGATAGACAGGAGGGAGGGGGAAAGAAGCAGTGTTAAAAGAAAGAAAAAGAGGAATATCACAAGGAGAAAGAGAGAGGGGGAGACAGAGAAAGGAGAAGAGGGAAACAGAGAGAGAGAAAGGGAGAGGGAAATAGAGAGAGAGAAAGCGGGAGAGGGGAATTGAGATAGAAAAAAGGGGGAAAGGAAATAGAGAGAGAGAGAGAGAGAAAGGGGGAGAGGGAAATAGAGAGAGGAAGAGAGAAGAGAGAGAGAGGAAGATGAGAGGGGGAGTTTTGGAGCAACAGGGAAAGATTGAGCTATAAGAGAGAGCCAGGAGTGACAGAAGGAAGAAGTGTGAGAGAAGAAATAGATAAATCTAGAGGCATGGGAGAAGGAGAGATACAATAATGGGATAAAGTGGGGTGGGGGAAATAGACAAGAAAAGATGAGAAGAAGAGTAGGAGAGGGTGAGAGGGAAAAGTAAAGGAGGAGAGAGTGAGAAAGAGAAAAAGAGAGCGAGGCTAGAGAGTGAGAGAGAAAGGGAAAGGAGAGTGAGTGAGTGAGTGAGTGAGTGAGTAAATGAGACAGACATAAACAGAGAATGTGAGAGAGAATCAGACAGTGCTCTGGGAGACACACTGTAAATGTGAGAGAGAGATATAAAAAAAAGAAAGAAGGGGAGAGGCAGAGAGAGAGAGATGCACAGGAGTGAGGGAGACAGAATAAGGGCAGCAGAGGATGCAGTGTGGGGAATGTATCACTATGTAACTCATTGTGAGAAGATCTGAGTTCTATACTCACCATTTCAGAGATATCTGCACTCTGGGCACAGTGGGCAATGCTCTGGGTGTCTGTGAAGAGCAGGGTGGGCTCCCAGGGATCCAGGAGGACCCCCCTTTGAGTATACTGTCTGCACAGGAACAGGCTTAGCATCAACAGGAGCCCGGCAGCCCGGAGAGAGACAGGCTCCTCATGAAGCTCTTACCTGAGTGTGACATTCAACTTGAAAGTCTGACGTTAAATGGATGGATGTCAGATGTAAGACGTGGAGATGAGCTCAGATCACTTGCACCACTTTCAACTCAAACCCTAGGGGAGGTGCAGTAGATTTTTTTGTGACGCTATTTCAGCCCCTGGTAGGAATGCAGGAGGTAAGTGCTCAATTACACCACAACCAGCACTTTGTTCCTTCCTCTGACACTTGGGATTGCTGATTTGCTCTTTTGATTATAAAGTCTGATATAATTTTGGCTTCATGAACATGATGAGCAAACTCATTTAGCAACAATCTGAGCTATGGCACCTTCAAATGATCGATCTTAAGAAATCATGTTTTCTTTCTTGTAGCTGGTCTTCCCTATAGTATTGGCCTATTTAATGATAATGGCTGTGTTATATAAGCATGATAAGTTACCATTAATATACATTTTTCTTGGACTGAGGAGATAGAATATTGTCTGGAGCTGTCCACTCAGGACCACCAATCAGACCTCTGTGAGGAGAAAGTCCTGGGGAGCTGTCCCTTCAGGACCACCAAGCAGACCACTGTGAGGAGTAGTTCATGGGGAGCTGTCCCTTCAGGACCACCAAGCAGACCACTGTGAGGAGAAGTTACTGGGGAGCTGTCCTTTAAGGACCACCAAGCAGACCACTGTGAGTAGGAGAAAGTCATAGGGAGCTGTCCATTCAGGACCACCAAACAGACCAGTGTGAGTAGGAGAAAGTCCTGGGAAGCTGTCCATTCAGTACCACCAAAAAGATCACTGTGAGGAGGAGTAAGTCCTGGGAGCTGTCTCTTCAGCACTACCATTTGGTACTTTGTAGACACACAGAAAAGGGCCACCTGCTGACTCTCAGCATCTCAATACTTCTCATTCACATCCAAGGAACAAGCATCAGGTTCACCTTATGAGGTTTCCCAGGATATTGTGGGTTCTGGCTACGTGACGGCAGTCAAGGAAGACTTGTGAAGGACTCATTTAACCTTAAAAGTGAATTGTGTACAAGGCAGCTCCAGGAGGATTTGGGGTGATTGGCAGAAGGAGATAGAGACTTGACAAAAGGTGACACATAGAACCGTGAAGAAGAATTGGGGTCAAACCTATCCCTTAAATGAGATGACCAGGCAATATGTATTAATGTCTCTCAAGTAATCTGTGAGTTTCTTCCTAGTGTTTTACTGAACAACTTCATTATTAATATTCTGAAAACAAAACCAATATAAACAGCAACTTTTTACTGGGAATATGAAATGTTTGAGGTGTTGACGGTTTTAGTCACAAGGTGCGACCCTCCAGGAGGGAAAGACAAGAACCAACACATGTTCCTCTCTAGCTGGGATCCTAAATATCATGATTAAGCATGAGGATGTGTGACAGAGGTGTCCAGATGTTAATTACCACTGTGGGTGCCTTTGCAGCGTTTAGCCTGATGACCATAGCTGTGGGCACAGATTACTGGCTATACTCCAGAGGTGTCTGCAAGGCTAAGTCCACTAATGACAATGAAACCAGTAAGAAGAACGAAGAGGTGATGACCCACTCAGGGCTTTGGAGAACCTGCTGCCTTGAAGGTAAGTCACCTTCAGATGCATGAGCTTTTGGAGTTAACCTCACAGCTTGATGTATATTTGGCTTCAATATATTTTGGGAATAAGCAAGGCATGTTTTTTTTAGGCAGATGCAAGGTACCCATCATCTTCTCCAGGTTACCAAAGTGTGCTAGACACCATGTCACTTGTGGCTGTAATTTGGAACCTCTTCATATCTAAATAAAATGCAATGGACCTCTGGACGTAGGTTAAACATCAGGGTTTCTTTAAATACACTTCATTTAACCCTTTATAATATTGAAGTGTTCATTTTAAATACTGCAAAAAATCTATTTGTTTTATCTCTTTATTATTTTAAGGGACTTGCAAACATCTGCAATACAATACAATCAGAAAATATACAATATGAATTCAAATTGATATCATACCATCATTAGGACATAGTGATATAAAAGTCAAGTATTAACCCTTCCACCGCTGGGGATTTTGACAAATGTAAAGTGATTTTTTTTTTGGTGGGGGGGGGGTGAAAAATTATAGGAATCCAGAACTTTCTGATTTCTAAATATTCACCCCACTCTGTCCTAATGTAGGGTGCATGGATATAGAACTGGGTGCATCACAGTTAAATCAAGTTTAAAGCATAGCTTTATTGTGCATTGCTACCCAGCATATCCCTTAAAGGGTTAAAAAAAATTGCCAGTAGAATTTGTTTGGTTTATTTGAAAAGATTTATTGGCCAACTTATTGCCTCTCTCTATCTGTCCTACTTTAATATCTCATTCATCTACCCTTAGTCTATGCTTTACAAAAACATTTGTTTCTGCTTGTTTGCTTTTTTTAATTTATTTTAGTATGATTTTATTCTAATATTAGTAGGTGTGTGGGCAGAGTGTTTCGCAGAGCATTGCGTGGAATTCTGGTCTACAGAAAGGGTTAACTACTTCACAGCCAGCGGTCAGCCAAGCATTGCAAAGCAATGTGTTGCTATTTCCTCATTAACAAAATAAAATCACCGCAGCCTTTAGCATGTTAAAAGTAAAAAAAAAAAAAAACACCTAACAACTGCTCTTGTCCGAACCTGTATTTATATCGACATTTTGAGGATTGCCAATTTGAATTTGAAGTTGAAGGTGTTAAAATTAAAAAAACAAACAAAATCTAAATACACTGAAAAAAAATGAAGGGAAAAAAATATATAAAAAAAAAATTTCAAACATTAAGATTGCTAAATACAAAGGGGGAAGATTGTTGTTGGTTTTTTTTGTACCAGAAAGGGTTAATAAAACCAATGAAAATTGGTTAAAATTACTTTTGCTATCTAAGTCACAAATTCTCTTTGTATTTAATCTTCTTCCAGATTAATCAAGCTTTCTACAATCTTTCGATGTTGTTTTCCTGAGCTGCTCACCTTAATTCTGAGTGGTATTTAATAAAACCATGGTTATATATTCCTGAATTCTATCAGAAAGTGTTCTAACTGTACTGTGTACTGTGCTGGGTGAATCTTAAATAGAGGCGTAATATGTATTTAAAGTATAGTATTTCTAGAGTCATGTAATATATAATGCAACTCATCAGACAGCAGCTGATTATATTATATGCAATATGGCGGTTGACATTAATATAAAAATACTGTGCTAGCTATACTATAATAAGTTTAACTGACTATGATACAACAGAGTGGCGCATTTAATAAGGTCATAATAGAATGATATACTTTGAGAGAATTTAATGCATGCTGTAGTAACAAAGTGATGCTAGATCTTTTTATTATACACATTGTTACAAAGTAATACAGGCTAAAAAATAACTCATGTCCATCAATTTCATTATTTTGTACATCTATAGTATATTTAGTGAAGGGATACAATATACATACAGTAACAGTTATATAAAATAATGAAATATATGATACAAGTATAGGTAGGCTATGATATGGATCAGTATATAATACAGCAATGTGTTTAATTATAATATACGCTATGTCATATGATAAGAGGGAGAGACATAATATGAAGATATAATATAACATATGGTACAGTATCAGGCTGGGATATGATATAATGCAGGGTATACATATAACTGTGAGAAATATCAATGTATGTGTAGTAAAATCACTTTAGAAATGATTTATTTGACATAGTAACTGGCGGGAATATGATGTAAGAGAGCATGTCACAAAGCCACAGGAAGGGTTATGCTGTAATCTTATATATAATACAGGAGAGGTTGGGAATGTGATATGACGCAATATATAATACAGAATATAAACTATATAAACCGTAATGTGTGTGATACCATATATAATACAAGAACAAGATAAGTATATTGTCCAATTGCAGGTATGGATGGTTTTATCATGAATATAAGGTCTACAGCAATATTTCTTCATTAAAAGGGCAGACAGACAGATAGATAGATAGACAGATAGATAGATAGATAATTTATTAGATTAGGTTTTTTGTTGTTATGCAGATTATTCCTTGGGATCTCCTTCAAAAGCAAAACAAAAAACAAATGTTTTATAGAGCCCTTAACTTACCTCTATTCCAGTGCTGGGAAAGACTCCTCATTCCTCCCCTTGTGACATCATCAGTTCTGATGATTATTGTCCAATCAGATACTTCTCATAGAGAAGTATTGAGAACACACAGCACTCGCAGTTCTTGCCACAATCCTGTCATTCAGTGCTTCTCTAAGGAAATTAATGCAATGGACACGTCCAACTTCAGCATAGTTGGATGCTGATGGCCAATATCAAATAGATTCAATAAAAAAATCTATTTGTGTCAGAGGCCCAAACTGGCTGTCTGCATGAGAGCCACTACTAGGCGTGGTAGAACCTACAAAATGTGAGGAAATGGATCTGTTTTAATTTTCAAGGCTAAGGGACATTATCGATACCCCAAAATCACTGCATTAAGATGAAATAATTCTGGTGCCAGGACTGTCCCTTTAACCCTCCGCTGACACTTGAACATACACAGTGTTTCCACTGCCTTCTGGGAAATTCAGTCCCGCTGTCAGAGCTCCATAGATAACCAACATAAATGGCAATCAGAATAAATCTAATTAGTCAGTAAGCTTAACAAATAATTACATATTTAAAAGCTGCTAATTAATGGATTTGGCAAGGAAAGATATTGCAGATTAGAAATAAACTAACAATTTGCAGCCAAAATAGTCTCTGTCAGGGGTGACATTCAACACATTATTAGTGTTCTGTCCAATGAACACAGCAATATTTGGAGTGAGAACAGCTTCCGTTTACGAGGAAATGTTACTAAATATTGCAGAATGTTAAAAGATGAAAATTGTTCAATGTGTTGACAATGAGCTTGGAATCTATAGTTAAAAGTTAGACCTTGCAGCACAAACCAAAATCTCAGCATACACTGGATTTACAGGAAGAGGGCAAATACCTCCATCTTGCCCCTACCTACAGACGCCCAAACAAAACTGCTCACATTTTGCCTTTACTCTGGTTTTTTAAAAGGACACTATAGTCACCAGAACAACTACAGCTTATTGAATTTGTTCCGGTGAGTAGAATCATTACCCTCAGGCATTTTGCTGTAAACACTGTCTTTTCAGATAAAATGCAGTGTTTACATTACAGCCTAGTGATAACTTCGCTGGCCTCTCCTCAGATGGCTACTAGAGGTGCTTCCTGGGGCAGTGCTGCACAGCGTGATTGACGTTCAGTGTCTCCACCCTCTACATGGAGACACTGAACTTTCTTTATAGAGATACATTGATTTGATGCAGCTCTATGAGGAAATGCTGATTGGCCAAGCCGGTGTTTGGCCCTGCCTCATCCAGCCTCCTTGCTGATTTCAGCCAATTCAATGCTTATCCTATGGCAAATTCTGATGATGTCAGCAAGGTTGCAGATCGGGGGTGGGGTCAACACTGGCCGACCCATGCTGTGCTGGAATTAAGGTACGTTTTCTTACATTTTATGTGGGTAAAGGGGTGGCAAGCCACCTAACTCGTGGTTTTAATACTATAGGGTCAGGAATACATGCTTGTGTTCCGGATCCTATAGTTTTCCTTCAGAGAACACTAACAGACCAGAGGGGGTTATAATAAAAGCTGGACCACTGGTGGAACTGGCTTACAACAAGTAATATTCACCAATAACATTATATTTATAATACATAATAAAATACCCATGAGAGACAGATTAGATAGATGGAAAATAAAGACACAGACAGACAGACAGACAAACAAACAGATGAGTGGATAGACATATAGATAGATGGATTGTTCATTGGTTTTGTTTATAAGAACAATCTTGTAATTATGTCAAACCCTTAATTTCTTTTTGTAATATTGTAATATATACAGTTGAAGGCTTGAAGAAAAGAGAGGGATATCCATGTTTTTAGTGTTTTATTTGGTTCGCCGTCTGTGCTTATTATATCTGTCTGTGCATATTGTGGGAATGGTAACATAAGCAGTAAATATTCTTCTTAGATATCAGGATTCAGGTTTCTTGTGGTGTTCACAACTCTGCCTCTTTGGACCAGCAAACAACAAAATGAAATTAAAGGGATACTCCATACACCCAGACCACTTCTGCCCATTGGAGTGGTCTGGGTGCCAACTCCCACTACCCTTAGCCCTGCAAGTGTAATTATTGCAGTTTTCATAAACTGCAATAATTACCTTGCAAAGGGTTAACTCCTCCTCTAGTGGCTGTCTGCTAGACAGCCAATAGAGGGCACTTCCTGGTCTACAGCACAGGTTTTCTATGCTATGGCGTCGCTGGACATCCTCACGCTATGTGAGGACCTCGAGTGTCACTAAAATCCCCATAGGCATTGAAAGCATTGCCGCGCATGCGCATTATGTCTCCTCCGCCGGCTGACGTCGGCGGGGGAGGATCGTGGCCGGACCCTAAACCACTGCCGAAGGACATCGGCGGTGGTCTCTGGTAAGTCACTGAAGGGGTTTTCACCCCTTCAGCAACATGGGATGGGGGGTGGGAGGGAGAGGGTTTTGCTGGCACTGGAGTGTCCCTTTAAGAAATACCTAATGCATAATGTTCATTAACAGTTTGGTATTTTTTTAAAGTCTCCGTCCACATCGACACATTGATTTTTAACAGTGGATCCATTAGTTTGTGTGCCAATGAAGAAAACAACTAGATTTGAAAGTTAATGTAAATTGCAGGACATGCTTATAATCATCTCAAATGTGTCTTGTGGTCTCAGGTTCTTCCTGGAACTATGCGTGTCCAAGGGCAAGTGTAACAACAAAAAAGGAAAGTGAAAATTAATTATACAATAAAGCAATATATAGGTGCTATCTGATCCAAATGAGGCAGAGGTGGAAAAACTCCACAGGGAAAATTTTACTTCTGCCATCACTTTTAAGTATCGGAGCTTTGCTCTTTGCTCTTTTTCATGTGAGTGAGCTTGATTCATTCCTACTTAAAATGTTGTAAAATTCTTTGGCCAGTTAGACTGTTTATGTGTTGTTATTTTTGTTGCCTCAGTGTTTTAGAAGATCATTTTTTTATACTTTACACTTTACCGAGTAACCCTGCAAATATTTAGCCGAGGGCCTGTATTTATAAGCACCGTCGGCTTGGGTAATAGCTGAAGAATACGGCTAATCTGAAAATTAGTGGTGATGGAATTCCCTGCCTGAAACAAGTTATATTTAAAAATATCCTTGCCATAATTACTAAGATGTTTTGTCAGCCTGAAGACAGTAAGTAAGTCAGTGTTACATTTTCAGATATAAATTTTAAATTGCAAGAAAACAAAAAAAACTCACGAATACAAAAACGGCATAACAAGCACAAAGCTTTAGGAGGGTGAAACGACAAAAACACATTTCTGACACAAATGATTCCATTTGCAATTATACCCACAATGCTTTGCAGGGCCGGTGGGAAGCGTAAGAGTGAAATGGAGCTTTTTCTCATTAAATAGTCTTCAGTGGTATGTCCCACTTCGTGCATGAGGGGAGAGATGATTCCACTGGTAATGTCTCTTCTCTGTGTATGTCCTGACAGCTGGGATATTACACTAAACTAATCCTTCACAAGACTCATTTTCTCAGTATATTTCTGGAGATTAATGCAAATCTTATTTGAGGTGTACTTAATCCTTCGCCATGTCATATTAACATACATTCCATTTGTGTCTTGTACTTGATAAGGGCCAGACAGTGCAATAAGGCACGCGTGGGATTAAAGGCACACTCACAGCTTCAGGACTGTCTGATTACATGCGCTGTGTACAAATTAATTCAGTCCTATACTAGAGTATATTATAGAATATATGTGAAATGCAAAAAAAACCAAACAATTAAATAGAAAAAAATATATATAGGCGGCTGAAAAAATATCTAATATCACATAGCAAGGCCCCTGGCAATCCATACAAAGGCACTAACAGGGTTTCACAGCAAACTTAAAAAAGTGGGCCTAAAAAGCAATGTTTTATTTATTTTTTGTTAAAACATACTAGACTTTTAAGACTTGATTTGACCCATTCTTTGTTTTAATGCTTTTTATTATTAATTAATTGAAGGAACGCTTCAAGCACCATAAATACCAAAATGTCATGTAGTGGTTATGGTGGCAGGAGTGCTTTGGCACTCTCTCAGAGTAAATTGTCACACCATTATTGTCAGAACTGTTTGACAACTTACCTGGGTTTGCTGGGTGACCTCACTCTCTTGCTGAAGGACTGCACTCATTGGCCGAGAGATGTGCCTGCTTAGCTTTTCCTCTCCTGTAAGGAGATTCCAGGAAAAGAGGGAGTACGTGTGGGCACCCGGTGAGACCCAGGTAAGTTGTCAAACCGTTTGCTGTTTCTATTCCATAAGCAATCCTTTATGGGCTCAACAGGGGTTGGAGGAGTTGTAGTTTAATGGTCAGCTTTCTACTAAAGATAGGAAATAGTTGAACTGTAACTCTCAGAGACATGACCTCTTCTACAGCAATATTTATTGCCCACAAAGGGAAATACTGCAGGTTGGAAGGGAGTGGCAGAAAGGGTGGGCTTGTCGAACCAAACTATATGTAGATAAAGAAAATGAACCCCCTGCCCCTTCAAACTAATATCACTAACTGTAAGATAACTGGACTCCTTGCAACTAACCCGGGGGTGCAAAGAATGTCCTCTTATTATCAAATACAATTTTCACCTTTTTGGGGGTAACAATGTATATTTTGATTGCTACAATAAATGGAATTGAAGTGTTTATTGGGGTAGGGGATGCAGTATATTAATATACAAAACTTATTCTCTGAGTGACTGAGGTGGTCTGTCTATCCTTCAGTTTCTATCCATCTTTCTATCTATCTCTCTCTTTATCTATCTATCTATCAATCATTGCCATGAAAAACTGTACTTGGCTAACATCTAGATCATGAGTCTCAAACTCTCTAATTTCCAGATGTCGATGGCCTACAACTCCCAGAATTCTTTGAATGCAACAGATGGTGGGAGTTGTTGTTCAGCAAGACCCAGGGGGCGGGGGGAGGGGGGCACAGTTTGATATTCCTGATTTAGACTATCCTAGTCAGCCATGATCACACTTAAATTAGTTTGACCCTTAAAACCAACAGAGAAACACCCTTTTCTTATTGTTCCACGTTTAAGTTTGTATTATCAAAATCTATGAACCCTCTTTCGGCTGGGTTTCCCCACATCTACAGTATGTGGGATTGGATTACTTTATTTATGACAATATTCTAGACTCTTTTTGAAACCCGATATCCAGTACATTTATCCATCTTGATCTTGTATTACCCAGGCTAAGCCCTCGACTTGCTCCAGGCGTTTGACCCACTGATACCTTCCGCCAAGGCCAACAGTGCGTTGGAATTTGCTTTACTAAATTTCTAGTTTTCGGGTTTAAATTAGGCACAATCTTGGTGCAATAGTTGAATGCTTGGCTAAAACACCAAACATATTTCAGTTCCCCTGAGTTGTTCTAGTAAAACAGCTCCTACAGAATTTTCCTCCATACCTAACAAGTCTTAATATATCTCCCACACACTGTATGTTGCTGCTGTAACTGAGAAAGAGCAAAACGTGAATTTCATATTCTTTACTTGACAATAAAGACATGCGAAATGTGCCTTTTACATTTATAATCAGGTAAGTTATGCCACGTAAATTGGACTTAAAACCAAATTAATGGAGAATTTGAACATCATCCCTGTAAGTGTAATGAATCTGGACTGTGGTAATCCATGGCTGTTGAGAACATAAGGCAGACAGTACCCCATGCCAGGGGATAAGAAAGGCACCAAGTGAACCCAACAATCTCCATTGAGAACGTGTAGAGAATAAGAGAGTCTCATTTTAACGGAATAGTAAGCCAGGTCAGAAGTCGAGCTGTAGGGTGAGCTAATGTCATGCATTCAATGTCTTGTCCCTGAGATGGGTTGGCGGGACCGGCATACAGAGAGGGTTAAGATATGATGTGTAAGGGTATGGCAGTATGGGACCATGTATAGTGAGGGAGCCCCGCTCACGCTGACTGCAGCATGTCTTCGAAGCAAGGGTGACTCATTACAAGAATTTATTCCGCTGAGATTCACACACATTTAGATCAACTCAAACCTCTTCATTTCTCTGCAGATGACAATACTAGTCTTTCTGTAAGAAAAGCCCTAAATTCACTTAAAGGGGAATTATGGTGAAAAAGATCCCTGATATGTCATAGCTTATATTAACAGGTGCCATTTGGATAGATTGCAATGGTCATAGTCATTACATTTAAAATATATTCCCTCCTCCTGCCTTTTCCATGACATTACTGAAACAAACACATTTTGTGAGCACAAGCCTTTACTAAGCAGTACATATCAGGCTGCTGTCAATCCAAACAATTAGGCAGGTCAACTGCTGTTTTTAGAGTACTCGGGAAGTAAAGGCTACTCGTATTGGAGGGGAAACCTTAACCAGCTCCAAACCGCCCAATATCTTCTAAATTAAATGCCAATGGCAATTGCAACTGCTGCAGAGTAGCATATATAAACATATATTATAACATATCAAAAGTCAGAACTAACATAAGGGAGCAAAACTTGTATCTAATTAATTAACTATGGAACTTTTATTATATATTGCTATTTTGTAGTTGTTGTCCTATACAATATAGCTTTATTGTTCCAATCGATTATTTTCTCTTCTTGTTTAGTTATCCACAGAATTAGCATCACAATAACTACCAGCGTGATTTATCTTAGTAAATATTTTAGGATTTAATTCTTCTTTTACTGATTGAACTATTTTTTTCTTTTTTACATTCTTTATTTTTGTGAGTTATAGCAGAAAGTACAACATTTTTCCTGAGTTGCATATAAACATTATTATCAAAGAAGCTGGACATGCATCACATAGCTGAACCTACTCATTTTAATTTTTTGTTAACCCAGGCTCTCCTATAGTTCAGCTAATAAGCTTTTAGCTGGAGGGATACGGGTGATGGGCCTCATACACCTTGTGACTGAGTGGTATAGCACCATTAAACAAAAGCTCTTGTAAGGCACCTACGGGAAGTTTAATAAGCTGTGAATCCTTCGATAGCTAAGGAATGGAGCTTTAAGGCACTGTTGCCTAATCGTAAGGCTGTGATCATATGAAGAGTGTGCATTGGCTAGCTTTAAAGATACATGTGGTACCCTTGTGCATTCTATGTGGGGGGAGAACAGGGATAAGCTAAGTTAGAGCTTCCTCATAAACCTACGGAGCCAGGTCAACATAATTGAACTATTCTAACGGGGGAAGGATAGGTGGTAGATGCATGGTACAACCCTTCAATGGAAATAGTCACGGCTGATGTATATCTACACAACGAGCAAGGGTGGAAATTTTCACTACAAGTTAAAGCATCTACAATCCCTTATGAATATATTATGAAATGTGCTTAATCCATACTTTCATTGCAGCACAGAGAGGAAGATATGTAAAACTGTACTTAAGCGTTAAGGATTATTCTCCAGCAAACAAGTCAACATAAGGTGAAGTCTAAAGGCAAGTCCATATGGTCTATAAGATAAGCAGGTAGAACTGGTTAAGTAGCAGGATGGCATTGGCCAGAGACTGCCATGGCTTACTGGATGGCCATTATGCTATAATAGTACATAGAACATTGTGCAGAATAAGCTGAAGGTCTTTGTAACCCGAGGCTTAAAATTTTAAGACCTACACTACTAGCCATACACTAAAAGTTAGTTGTCACTGCAAGTTAGGAGGGTCCATGGCAATTCGCCAGGATTGAACATCTACTAGCCAGGGCTACATTTTCACTCCCCAAAGGCTAGTGGCAATTGCAAATGTTAAGCCCTGCAATATCCCTCATGGGATATTTACAAAGAGGGCATGGAAAGAAAAGAAGGTAGGCTGAGGTAGGTTGGGTGCAAGACCAGGACAGACAACAAACTTTCCATGCAGCACATTAGACACTGGCCAAGATGTAGACAATTGGTCCTGTGGTCGACACATGCGCACAGTTCAATTCTGGCCCAACCTATTTCCACAGTTCCGCCTCACCCATAATGTCTGCAATGTTTTGTTTTCTCTAGATCTAAAAGTGTCGAGGGTATGTGTGCTAGGAGCATATAAATTGAATTGTTTGTGTACACAAATGTATTAATATCAAACGTTTGTAATGGATGGAAAATCATCAGGACCTGGGTCATTATCAATTGGCTCAACACAGAAAAACCCCCACAAATTTCGGATTAAAAAATCAGAGTTAATATCTACATAATAATGATTAAAGGGATCATAGCACATATTTATAATTTTTTACAAAATGTGCTTCTGAGTAATCAAAAAATGCTAATTTAGCTCAACATTTTGATCAATGAAGAAGTCACAGATGCATTTATCAAATCTTTGGCATTCAAATGGTAAACGTAGCGCTCACCCCTAAAAGATTTATGTGCCTTTGTAAAAACTCTGTTCAAGACACGGACGTACTCTGAAGAACTTACCTCTTAATTCATTGTGGATGTTCTTGTCGCGTTGTTTTACATTAAAAAAATTAATCTATAATTTATGCATAGCCTTATTTAAAAAAAAAAGAGAGAACTAGGCCACAGCAGTAAAAAGTAGTCCCGAAACATTGTATCACCGGTTTGCTGTCGCTTTTGATCAGTTGGAAGCGCTAAGATCAAACCTCTGTACTGTCTTGTACCCGAGAAAGTCTAAGTGCTCATTAAAGGTGCCGAACACGCTGCATGCCAGTAAAATTGTCTTGTAAATAATTTTAAAAAACAGAATCTAATTGGTTTCTTGAAACTCCAGCCATATGTTGTGATAGCTTGTTGGCAGAAGCGCGGCAGCGAAAGGTTTATGTTTCAAAGGGTTTGTTTCTTTAGATTTACTCGTGAAATATTTTTATGACTAATCAAAAGACGCAGAAGGTGCCCTAGTGAAAAACAGCACCAATGCAGCCAAAAGCCGGCTGGGATTTACATAGGAAGAGGCAATATTTTAACAAAAAGTACATTTATTTTCTATATTACTCCAAAGGGCACTGCAAAATTTTAAATACAAATGAAGGCAATACAATAATATATATTTTTTTTTATAAAGTGTATCTTTCAATTATTTTACTGCAATGTCAGTCTCCAAAACAATTATAAATGTGTATCATGCTGTATAAAGGGCATTTAGTAAATGTTGCTTAGCCTGCGAGAGCAGCCATTTTAACTTGATTTGCACGATTAGTTCATCAGAAAAACTCAAATATCAAATGTATTACAAGATAGGAGGTTAATTTTATGCTACACACTTTTATTGGACTTACTAATGAGCACTTTTCTTTCTCAAAAGAAGAAAGCTTATATCAACTGTATATTTTATGACTAGTCCTCCAAATTGGTTTACTTCACAATTTTGGTAGAAGTTAATGTGTCTGACAACTCCAGAGGAACAAAAAAGTAGGTTTGGGCACAACCAGTAGTTTCTTCAGTAGGTAGACTTAATTGTGGAGTACAAAAATTTAGACAACGTTTCGGCTCCCCTGAGCCTTTGTCAAGTATTGACAAAGGTTCAAGGGAGCCAAAACATTGTCTAAAAATGTTTTATAGCACCCTAGTGGGAGTACTCCCTGAAAATGTGTGTGTGCAAAGTGCTTTGAAAATTCTAGAACTCCAGAAGGATGACAGAGCACTACAGAGTTTAATGACAGGGATGCGAAACTCAGACCCTTATCTGTTGGTGAACTATATATATATTGACATTCTTTGAGTGGCATAGTTGGCATTGAATTATTCTAATTATAGCCGTTGGTAAAATGGCAGCCCCCATAAATATAAGGATATGAAACAGTGAGAAATACTATTCATAGAATACACTTCATAGAATGTAAACAAGGGCAGTAAAACATAACATTTCAAAACTATTATCAAAACATATCAAAATGAAAAACTGAGGCTACAAGGTCCCTAATATCATAAGTATAAGTCAAAGTGGTTTAATGTCTTTGTAAAAATTCTTTGCAAGACACAGATGTACTCTGAAGAATTTACATCTTAATTAATTGAGGATGTTCTGTTTGCGTTGTTTTACATAAAAAAAAAACAATTGTCAATAATGTATACATTGCCTTATTAAAAAATGTTTTTAAAAAAATAGGCACGGCAGTAAAAAGTAGTTCCGAAACATTGTATCACCAGTGTGCTGTTGCTTATGACTACTTGGAAACGCTAAGATCAAACGTCTAATAGATCATGCCGCACTACTTTAATATTGTACTATGAGGACTTGAATAAAATCTGCTGTTCGCAGTACATGTGATCTGTTTAGGTTTTCCTAAAGCGTCTACTACAGTTCTGAGGTTAACAGTATTGTGCATATTGAATGAGGTAGGAAAATTTTTTAGTTTTTATAAAGAAAAAGTGCTGAGAGTTGCTACAAACAAAGAATCACAAGTCAAACCAATGGAAAATAGTTTGACTACTTGCATTGGGGAGTGCTGGTGTACTTCTGACACCATAACCACTACAGCGCGGATCCGGATAAAAGCAAAGTTGTGTGTTTGGGATAAAAAAAACACATACTTTCAACATATAGCTTATGCAGTGTAAAGGAAATCATAAATGATTAAGCATGTGGGAATATAAATAGTGGTCAGTGTTGGTCAGCGCCAATTGAGGCGTTATCATGTATAAAAGGAAGTAATGTCTCAAAAAGGACATTATTGAACTAAAAAGGTTTGCGGCAATATACTACAATTGAGGTAATGAAAGAATTTAAGATCTAAATTGATGCTCTCAAAAAAGATGTCTTATTAGAGTATACTTAATTATTAGAAAACAGGTCGTTTCGGTAGAAGTGGTCAGGGCTCTTTTCTGTCCCTATCGCTACAGAGAACAGGCTGTCATTGAATTATTAAGATCATCTTTTCACAGTGAGTTTATTTATACTGCAAAAGAGGCTCTTGATCATAAGATCTCATTAAAATGCAAAATTATATTAAAGGGGAGGACAAGGACCTCTCAGCAGAGTCTTTCAAGGCACATGCTGGGCAAACAACAGATTACTAGTCTTTCATGATTGCGTCTTCGTACTTTTTGCAAGATATATAATTGCTCCTGATGTCCCTTTCAAGTGTTCTGTTTAGTATACGGCAAAATTGTTTGTGACAACAGAAAGTTCAACAGTCTCCATTCTACCTTATCCATTTTTTCTTTAAAAACTGTTGAGTTAGTTTGAAGTTATTTTTCACTGTTAAACAAATAAAATGTAGAACTATTTAATAAATGGTCTGGGAGCACTTTATGCTCTCTTGCGTAGAGCTCTACACAGTTCTTTAATACGTCCCTTGGTTCTCTTGACTCCTTCACAAGTGGCTACTCTTTATGTGTAGTTTCAAATACTGTTAGCTTATTTCACAAGTGGTGAATGACTCACGTAAAATTATGATTAAATCATTTTTATGTTACTTGGCCTTATTTTGGTTTTTTTGGGGGGGGGATGAGGGTGTTTGACAAACTATTTTTAAATGTTATGACAGAAAACATGGCTATTGCAGTCTAAAATGTACGGTTTTGTATCCAATTATTACTTTTTAATGATGCACATTTTCAAAAACTAAAAGCACACAACAAAGCTATTTTAAACTATTTTATTTTGCAAAGATTCCACAGATGGCAAGTCACATTCAAGCTTTGGGCTAAGATCATAAAATATAACAATATGACCAGAAGTTCATTTGAAAAGCATTTTCTTACAAAAAAGCTTGTACGACAAGTGAAAACTCGAATAGACACCATCTTGTCTCTTCATAAAAGGTCCAAGCTGAAATCAGATTCTGTGTCAGGGAGAGGGCAGCAGTCCATTTTGAAGCAACATATAATCTTTGTCTGAGCATTCAGCCCTCAATCACCCTCTGTTCCATCATCAGGAAAGAGCTTTATAGAAATGTTACCAATCAAAATGATCATAAGGACCTCATCACCTCTAGCGCTATTCACAATAGCAAGATACAGCTGCGGAAGCAGTCTAATTACATGGGGACTGTAGGCTGTGAAATGTGCCGATGGCATTTAGACTATGCCTATTGCTACAATGCATTAACCCCTGCTTGGTCCTGCACTGTGATATATTGACCTGTGACAGGTAATTTACATGAAACATATATTATATATATGATATACGGTTTGAGCTAACCCGGGCAGTGAATTAATACATAGAAACATAGAATGTGACAGCAGATAAGAACCATTTGGCACATCAAGTCTGCCCAATTTTCTAAATACTTTCATTAGTTCCTGGCCTTATCTTATAGTTAGGATAGCCTTATGCCTATCCCATGCATGCTTAGACTCCTTCACCGTGTTAACCTGTACCACTTCAGCTGGAAGGCTATTCCATGCATTCCCTACCCTCTCAGTAAAGTAATACTTCCTGATATTATTTTTAAACCTTTGCACCTCTAATTTAAGACTATGTCCTCTTGTGGCCAATCACTGCAAAGGACCAATTACTGGAAATGTGGCATTTCAGTGGCACTACCATTCCTCATTGAGGAAAAGTCAGCATCGCTCGTGGTCTACAACCAAGATTTAGACAGATGTGCCCTCCGTTTATTGTTTTCTCTGCAGGGATGCACTGATAGAACATAATACCCAGTAATTGCCTGTGCCATGGTAGGTAAAGTCTGTGCCAAGGTAGGTATACATTTCTCCGTTGATGAGATTGGCACAGGGGAAACACAGATAAGAGGACTATGTCTTCTCCGTGTCTTCTAATTTTCCCACCCTAAGGTATAAAAACATAGCTGGTGGCACAAGTTACTGCGACTGCTATCGTACTGGCAAGGTAGGATAGACAGAAAGACTTGTGTCGTGGTAGACATATTAAATTCGGTTTCCCTTTTAGAAAATTGGCAGAGAGTTTTGACAGATTCTGGTGAAATGTTGCATTCTCACAAAATACCCCTGTGACGAAGTGCCCTTCGCCACTTGGTCCTGGAGAGGCCTACTTGCCAGCCTCCTCCCCTGTGACTATGACTCTTTCATGTATCTGGCTTTAAAGCACCTAGTCTACCTTCAGACAGACTATTTATGTAGGCTGCTTTATTTATCTTATGTTTTAGTCACCCTGTACCTATTATAGGTGCAGGGTGTGTGTAATGTAATTGTTTATAGTGTGTGTGTGTGTGTACTGTGTAATGTATTGCCTGCTCTCTTGTATTGCTGAGGTTTGCTACCAACTAGGTGGGTTTGGCTATGGAGCTTGTCTAGTGCCCTCTGTTGGTAGCAACAGCAATATGCACTACCTGAATTGCAAGACTGGTTCATTTGTATATTCGGGTAGATTTGCATATTGCTAATTCTGCAGGCAGGTGAGATATTTACTGTTAAATATTGTCTCCCTCCACCCCTTTAAAAATGTGCCATTGTGTTGTGATAAGTCACTGTGTGTTGCTTGATATGGTTTGACTGTTTGTGATTTTATTGAGGTTTCACAACAATGTTATTGTGGTGACTGTATTGGCTGGTCCCAAGGGAATAAAGGTTTTGACAGTTCTTCTTGATCCCTCTAAATGTAGCCTTGTCTCGCTATTGGAGGGAGCTGTTATAATCACACTGGGGATTGCTATGCTCTGCATGCTCCCCTGAGCTTGAGTCACTTAGCTCTTTTAAGAGCTTGTTCCTGACACGCTCTCCTTGGAGGAGGGGTCTTCACCACACAGTCCTGGATGCTGGAAGTTCATACAGGGTGGAAGGAAGAGTTCTTTCCCACACAGTCCTGGAGGACAGAAACTGATCCAGGGTGGAAGGAAGACGGCGAGACTCCAGTCAAGATACGGCGGTTGCGGAGTCTGCGGTGGTTGTGGTGTCTGCTGCAGTGCTTGGAGTCCTCAGGAAGCGCTAGGAGCATCCGTCAACGGAGGGTACTCAGTCGGAGTACAGGGAGCTCCGTTACAACCCCGAAGGCATGTTAGGTTTGTTAATGCCACAGATACATAAATTCAGTAGGAAATTGTATGCTAATTTGCAGCAGAAGGAAATTTTTATAGAGTTTTACAGTTTAAGAAGGACCACAAAGGCTTTTCTTTTTATGAGATAGTTATATTTTAAAGGGTTTATACTCATGTAAGTTTATTTTAAAGGGTACTTTATCACATGTGAGAATAATTCTAATTTAAATAGAAAATTGCCATCATTTTGGTTCAAATTAAAAACATGCATGTATTATAAGTTATATAACCCCTGCTTGCGTTATTTTGTAATGTACATGAGTAAACAAGCTCTTTTCAGTCCATTCTTTGCTTTCTCTTGCTGCGTTAGAGTAGCCGTCTCTAAGTCCTCTTTGGAGAGAGGCACAGTTTTGTCTGAACTAACGGTATGCAGGAAATCAAGACCTAGTGCATGTTTATAAATCCTGATATACTGTGCAAGTGCTGTCCTAAAAAAGCACTCTGTGACTAGTCAGTAATTCAAATTGAGCATGGTCTTAGGAGATAAGCAGCAAAGGCAGTGCTTCCAGCCACAAATTGGCTTAAAGATGGCTAACCCCTTAGTACATAGATAAACCAGGAAGCACATTTAACAGAGTTATTAACTCAAAGGAGCTCTCAAAACTTCATAACCACTGCTGCCCATTGTAGTGACCAGGGTACGAGCATGCCCCCGGCTTTGTCCCTTAGTTCTGTGTCAAACCTATGGCCTGGTCCCTTGCTCTGTATCCTGCTATTTTGTAATTACACGAACCTAGTAAAGGACAACTCTGTGCATCATCACATCTTTATTGGAATAAACTTGTTATGGCGCAAGGGGGCACCTGGTGCCGATTTACCTGAAGGGGTCATACTGTTATGAACAGTTTAACCCCTAAGTCTTCAAGCCAGCGCCTGCTTGCTCTGGCCCTGAACATCCGCTCCATGTCCGAGGGAAGTGTCCCTTTAACTATATCAATTTTGTTCATGTTTGACAGCATTAATTGGCTGAGATGATAATCCCTCTTCTGACCATACATTTCCGTCCGCTTCCTGACCTTTTATCATACACTTTTAATATTGATTTAAAATAAAAAAGAAATGTATTTAGAAGACGCACGCCTTGAATGTGTGATATTATGTGCTACGCTGCTTCCCTAACAGACTAAAGAAACTGTAATCTTTGAATCAAAACAGAGCCTTCAAAAAAAACCAAAAAAAAAAACCATTAAACACATATTGCCCCTTTCACCATTTTACTTTCAAGATGATCAGCCTTCTTACAATATGTAAAATGTCCATCTGGACACTAAAACAAAAAAAAATCACAGCATTGATCAATCTCCAGAACATGCGTAAGTCTTTTTTTAATGGCGATATTTGCTTGGCTCTTCCGCAAAGTGTTTCCTAGACCCCAATCTAGTTTTCTGCTCACGCAAGCGTGTTATTAGTGGGTAATACACGTGTCACTATGGAGCATTTGCATGATGTCAGCATGTGGCCCACAGACTAGTGCTAGTGGGGAGCTAGAGGCAACTGAATCAAACGATGAAGAACATTCTAACTGCCTGTTACTGTATCTGACAGCACATTCCCATACAAGCACTGCTCCGTGCCTTCAATCACTGATTCCCTCACTGATAGCTCTGTATTCCTAATTTCTTTGATCATTAACCCTTAGATCTGCCTTGTCACAACCACTGATTATGAGAGACTGTGCACAAAGCTGGCTTGGTTTCTACCATGGCTATTAAAGTGGAACTATCATCCCAAAGTATCCTTTCATATGCTGTAGCTTAGATTAATAAGTTATTATGGACATTGCCAGTGCCACTTACATAGTTACATAGCTGAAAAGAGACTTGCGTCTATCAAGTTCAGCCTAACTCACAAATGTTTTTGCTGTTGATCTAAAAGAAGGCAAAAAAACCTGGTCTGAAGCGCTTCCAATTTTGCAACAAACTAATAAAAAATTCCTTCTTGACCCCAAAATAGCAGTCAGATGTCTCCTTGGATCAAGCAGCTATTACCCCACTAATTAGAAATTATAACCCTGTATGTTATGTTTTTGCAAGTATTTATCCAATTGCAGTTTAAACATCTGTATGGACTCTGATAAAACCACCTCTTCAGGCAAAGAATTCCATATCCTTATTGTTATTACTGTAAAAAAACCTTTTCTTTGCCTTAGATAAAATCTCCTTTCTTCCGGCCTGAGTGTCTGACCTAGTGTCCTATGCTTATAAGACAACAGAAGTTTTATTCATTTCCCAGCTCCACGTCACTAATGTCTGTTATTGTCTCGTAGACTGTGATGTTTGAAACAGTGGCAAGATCATTGTCTAATAATACTTGCGTGTGGTTAGCATCTGTAGACAAATGCCCAAAACGTGCATGCACACTTGTGCGTTACATCCGTAATATGTATGTGCATGTATGCTTATCCATTTAATTCATTTGCATGATATTCCCTGGCTGTGCCACGACAACCAGGCATAAAATGTAAATGCTAAAATAAAAGTATTTGAGATTTTAAAAAAACAGCAGTTGGGTTATTAAAACTCACTTGTGAATGACTCACGGTGTACAACCTTCTACCGTATGACAATTATCATATAAGACCATTACAGCTAAAGGAAACTGGGCAAAGTTTTCAGTTTGCAATGAAGGCAGAATAAAAACATGCAAGGCAAGTATTCTTTGAATGTGTGCTATTAATTGTATCCCCCAATGAGCACTATTTTACCAATAACTTCTTTTTTTTAACTATCATTATTTCTTGGAACACACACGATACGCTTGCTTTGTATGGTTGTATGTGACATATATAATTAAAAGTTTTCAGCTGTATCCTTTCGCCTGCAGGAGATGTATTCCCAAGAGATTGCACAGACTGAATTATCTATTGAATGTAGACCGAAAAAAAATGATCAAAACATTATAAATCAGTTAAAGAAAAAGTTGTTGAGAGTACAGTTAGTTGAGAATCAACAGAATGGGGTACAAAGCTTGTCATTAGGTTGTAACTTAAAGGGTTATTCAATAAAGGGAGAAGTCAAAGTGAATTTAACATTTAAGACCAAAGTAGCCAAACTGGGAGCATAGCTGACTTAGAATTTTTCCAGCTCAGCTATTTTAGTCTTGTATTTAAAATTAACTTTAAATTTCCTTTTTAGTGAATAACCCTTTTTTATGGAGATACCGGCGATAAAAAAAAAAGGTTTTCCCACCTGCAAACATGGTCACTGCACCTGATATATTGCTATTATCTAATCCCTGTTAATGGCACTCTGTTTGTATCTATGAATAGCAGATTAATCTATTAAATTTTAATAATCTACCTATAAAAATACATTGCATAGAAAAGTGCTTTTTTTTTTATTAATGCAAGAATTTCAAACCTTAGATATTTTATATATATTTTTCCAGTGAAAGTTTTTTTATTAGTTTATTTTCAGATATGAAGAAAATATTATCAAGATATGTAGACAGTATGGCAACATATGTTTTAATGGTATGGTATTTAAGAAATGCTTTATTAGAAAGAGATTTAAACTAGTAAAGGAGAGATATAGAAAGTTGGAACCAGAACAGATGAGGAGAGAAACCCCCTATGGACTTATTTAGCTGTAGGTTACAGAATGAGGCCCATCAAAGACTAGACATTATTGCCATCAGCCCATACCATCGGTTTATATCCATTTACAGAGAGTAACATCATACACTATTGACACATACTGGCAGCAAATTGCGCTGTAAACATAATGAGCAGTTAGACTAGTTTATCTGTATTTAAATTAAGGTTGGCTGAGAGTAATCGTAGTTCAGTTCCAATAAAAAAAAAAGCATTTAAGATTGCTTAACTCGGATTTAAACAATGGCTGCTAATCTGTGACAGTCCCCATGATCATGTTGTGTATTATGCCCACGCACATCGCTACACTACCCCCACGATGCTCTCTCAATTTATGGGGGCATGTCAGGGATTGTTGGGTACGCAGGGCTGGGTGTGCGCTTCTTCTATTGTGACCTCCTGTCACATCAGTGTGATAGTTCTGTGAAGCAGGCGCATTAAAGCAAATCTCCTTGTTTCGGAATTGTGACCTTTAAATGATTCAGCCACATTAGAGGATTAAAAAAAAATAACCCCAGGGCGAATCATGCTGTAAAGGCAACGTGTATGACTGCAGATGGAGAACTGGGTTATTCAGAGTACTTAGTAATGCATTGCTAACCCAGAGGTTGAAATCTAGAAGCCGGCAGCAGGACAGGGATTTCCGTATGTAACTGAACATAAACACAAAAACAAAGACAAAAACAAACAGACCAACAACTAAACGGTATAAAACAGCTTCTAATACACACAATACCAATGGGGTACGGTACACGCACAGAAGCAGAGCAGATAGTAATGGGCGCCAGGTTCTGCAAGTGAGCCCATAGTATTGTCAGTAGATTTAAACTAGAATGGGCTCACCTCTTGTCACACAGACTGGCGGGACTCCTTGCTCTGGAAAATGCGGGGCGTGCCGCCTGTAATGCTAGCATGAGGCTCAGTGGGGGAACAGCCCTTATCTCTTTTCTTATCTCTCTGTGTATGTTACCCGGTTGGTGCCCTCTGTCTGCCTTTAACCCCTTAAGGACACAACTTCTGGAATAAAAGGGAATCATGACGGAATATTTCCGTCATGTGTCCTTAATGGGTTTTATCCCTGAGTGCCATGGTTACACCTGATGTAGTGTCTTTAACCAGTAGTAGATATTCTATTGATAATTTGATAGTCTCGATTTTCCAATATCTGCTCTGTCAGACTCCATGGTTCTCTGGAACCAAATGGTCCAATACCGTTAAGGTCTGTACACTGGCCGGCAGTATTGTTTGACGTCTCCATGTTCCCCTAAGAAACTTTTCATAGCAATTAGCCTCCAGCTCAAACACAGCCTGCCAATGAGTAGCAATCTCTGTGGCCATGCCATCAGGACTTATGAAACCCCCGGATCCTGCCCTTAAGAGATGCATTCCTGTGACCTTGAAGACTCCAGCTGGGGGTAGAGGAGGACTTTGAGCTCTGATTTCCTGTCTTGCTCTGGCATATCTCTGACTTGCCCAGATGAGGTTATATGACCATCCTGAACAGAATACTGATTGAGTCTATCATTTAATGGGATGTCTGCTATAACCTTCTATGTAGTAATGAGAAAAGGAGGGTTGCACTCAATCACAAGGTTTAACACAGGGTGCACTGAGCATGGGTCAACAAATCCCAAACAATCTGTATAAATGAAACAAATCTCAGGCACTCACTGTGATCACTTCCAGGCAGTTTATTGCAACGTTTCGACCTGAAACCAGGTCTTTTTCAGGTTGAAACGTTGCAATAAACTGCCTGGAAGTGATCACAGTGAGTGCCTGAGATTTTTTTCATTGCTATAACCTTCTAGTCTTTTAACGAATTCTCAATTTACTGTTTCAACTTGTAGATGACTTGTATGAATGCATATAGCCGTACTTCAGCACACTAATTAATTAGAAAACAAATTAATAAAAACTGCCCACAACAAAAATGTACCAAACCATGTTTCTCAATAGTGATAATGTTATTAGCATAAATAAATTAGCATGCAGATCGGTATTTAATTGTTAATCAAGTATGCAGAACAAAAAGTATGGTTTATTACAAAATAAACACAAAGACGGAGCTTTTAGTTAATGAAATACGCAATCATATCTACATCTCACTATACATGTTATGCGTTTTGTGAAAGATGTACTTCATAATGAGTCATCACATCCTAGAATTTTCAAAAGGAACGCTCCAAAAGTTGCAGTGGTTATGGTGTCAGGAATGACCTTGCATCTCCCAAACTATTTGACATTGACTTTTTACCCTGGGTACACAAGGCACCACTCTCACCTCCTCTCAGCCGCCAGCGACCTGAAAGCTCCTGCTATATAGCAGATACAGAGCTTCTATCTAGAGAGGTGGACGTGGTGACTGCTGGAAGCGATGCTAAGCAGATCCCAGGTAAGAAGTCAAACTGTTCTAAGTCAACTTGACTACTTGCGTTCAGAGAGGCAACGTGTGCTCAGTTTGCGTCTGGACTGAACTGGGTTGTTATTTCAATTGCTACATTATTAACATACGTTTAAAAGAAATCAGCTTCACATGATAAAGTTCAAATTTGTTTTGTCATGGAACACACAACTTTACCTTAAAGGGGCCTCTCTACGCATGATAACCATTTCTTTTCACTGAAGTGTTTATAGTCCCTGGTGTCCCCTGGCGCTGTCCCTCTATTCATTGTTGAACCATTTTCAAGCAGTCTAACACTGAAGGACGGTCCCTGGCTTCCCATAGCTCTGCCACCACTGGAGGTGTGGTTAAGACAAAGGTTACATACTTCCTTGTAGCCATAACAATTCATACCAGCAATCAGGGCCGGCGCTACCACTAGACTCTGTGTGTGTCATTGTCCCTTCCCCCAAGTTAGACATTTTATGGCCCCCCCAAAAAAACAAAATGTAAACTATGGCAGATCATAAGGTGCAAAAAAACGGAGCCCCGCGTCTATTCTACATTTTGTAGAATAATTATTTAAAGTTGCTGGATCTCTATTTAAATGACAAACACATTCAAAAAAATCTACTTTAGCACTATATTATTTTAACAAGCTGATCCCTGCCGTATGTATTTATTTAGAGAGGTGGACATTCATTATTAACATGGCGTTGTGGAAACCCTAGCACACGTGCTGCATATCCTCCTACTTCACCGTGAAGGTCACTGGTTAATTCTTGGCCTCTCAAGCATAAAACTGGCAAACGTTCAGAATTATTGATATTTCCTCTTGATAAACTCAGTGCCATTTGCCCGTTTGATTTTTCTGCTGTCATGTCCTGGTTTATGTAACCTCTACTTTTGCTTTTTAAAATGTGTGCTCTCGCTGCTCTAATATGTGTGAGCGTTGGTATTAATTTGTGCGTGCGAAAAATACACACAAGTGTGCCCCAGTGCTGGATGCTATTGGTTGCCATGGAGACTGACAATCATTAAGGATGCAGTGTTAACTCGCACCCCTCTTCAAGAAAAGCAGGAGCCTCGTTTTACAATGTTGCTTCTTTTTTGTAGGCAAAGAATGTGACCGGTCTCCTTTGAAGTGTTCGATTTGTGCACTGTCAAAGAGAATGCCCTGCGCTTTTTGTTCGGGGAGACAACAACAGGCAATCCTCGTTGTACCTCAACAGTGCAAGGGCACAAGTTTATCCTTGTTATCTTTCTAACTCTTAGATGTAAACCCCAGCTATCCAGAGAGAAAATAAAGCTGAAAAAAATATATCTAACAGTTTCCATAGTTACACAGACAAACATAATTTACAGAGACATCAAAAATTTGGCAAAGATCGTACATTTGTTGGCTAACAAATGCTCCAGAAAGCAAGTTTTTAATGCTGATAGGGCATGCAAAACAAACACCAATTAGTCTCCAAGAAGTCCAGTTAACCAGTACAGGTGCCATGTTTACCATTTTGGCCGTTTTCCTTAATATGGTAACAATATGTTTGCACCTCTATGCAGAAAAACACCCTGAGGGCATCTGTTGTTTTTTTTGGGAGGTGATCATTGATATGTACTAAGCTGTTGCTTTTGAAAAACTAATCAGTAAAATGAAATGTGTTTGAAAATAAAAAAAGTTGCAATAATGAACGTTCCATCAAAGTTTCCGACTTGGGCTTTAACCATCAAAACTAAAATAGCAAATATAAATAGTGAAGCAAAACACGAACAGTAAACATTTCTCCGTTATGAAATCTACTAGGAATTTGCTATTTGATCGGTATATGTTTACTTGAAAAAGTAGCAATTATTCGTTAAAAATTGTTTTGCACTTTTTAAAAACATGTTCTCTCTCTCTGTGAGTTCAGTGGCAGAGATAGACTTTGCCATTAAATATGTTGTGGTCTTTCCCTCTCTTAATGATGAATGAGCTTATTGTATGCACAAATTTATGAAACATAGGTCGTGTCAAACTAACCTACTTGCATTCTACGAAGAAGTAAGTAGAAGTATAGATCAGGGTGTTGCAGTGGATGTGATCCACTTGGATTTTGCCAAGGCATTTGATACGGTTCCTCACAATAGGTTAGTCTTCAAACTAAAAGAAATCAGTCTAGATGAATATTCTTGTTCTTGGGTATAACATTGGCTTAAGGATAGAGTACAACGAGTTGTAATTAATAGTAAATTTTCAGGCTGGACAAAAGTGGTAAGTGGTGTCCCTCAGGGTTCTGTTTTGGGACCGCTATTTAACATATTTATAAATGATCTTGAAATAGGCATTGAAAGCCATGTATCAGTGTTTGCAGATGACACAAAACTTTGTAAAGTAATAAAATGTGAGCAGGATATTGCTTTGCTGCAGAGAGATTTGGATAGATTGGGGGACTCAGCACTAAAATGGCAGATGAAATTTAATATAGAGAAATGCAAAGTTATGCACTTCGGGGTTAAGAATGCACAAGCAACTTACACACTAAATGGTAGTGAATTAGGGATAACCACACACGAGAAGGATTTGGGAATTGTTATAGACAACAAATTAGGCAGCAATATGCAATGTCAATCTGCAGTTGCTAAGGCCAGTAAGATTTTGTCATATATAAATAGGGGCATAAATTCTCGGGATGAAATTTTTTTTTATTTTTTGCCTCTTTATAAATCGCTGGTAAGACCACACCTTGAATATGCTGTGCAATTTTGGGCGCCTGTTCTAAAAAAGGGATATCATGGCACTGGAGAGGGTCCAGAGACGAGCTACAAAATTGATAAAAGGAATGGAGCATTTTAGTTATGAAGAAAGGTTAAAAAGATTAAATCTGTTTAGTTTGGAAAAACGGCGCCTGAGAGGGGATATGATAACGTTATACAAATATATTCGGGGCCAGTACATACCATTATCTGGAAATCTATTCATAAACAGGGCTATACAAAGGACACGAGGTCACACATTTAGGCTGGAAGAAAGGAGATTTCATCTAAGGCAAAGAAAAGGTTTTTTTACAGTAAGAACAATAAGGATATGGAATTCTCTGCCTGAAGAGGTGGTTTTGTCAGAGTCCATACAGATGTTTAAACTGAAATTGGATAAATACTTGCTAAAACATAACATACAGGGATATAATTTCTAATTAGTGGGGTAATAGCTGCTTGATCCCAGGAGACATCTGACTGCTATTTTGGGGTCAAGAAGGAATTTTTTCCTAGTTTGTGGCAAAATTGGAAGCGCTTCAGCCCAGGTTTTGTGCCTTCTTTTGGATCAACAGCAACATTTGTGAGGAAGGCTGAACTTGATGGACGCAAGTCTCTTTTCAGCTATGTAACTATGTAACTATGTAACAAAAATTTGGGTAAATAGGCAAGTCCTGGGATGATGGGTGGCGTTAGAATATAACGCACCCTTCCCTTGCTGTCCTCTCTCACCATTATTCACCATATGTAAATACAGTGACTATAGGTGTCCAGGCATCCTTGGATCCTAGCGGCCAGATAAGGAAGGGGGTGAGAGGCAGAAAAGTTCCACTTTTGCCCTTGACAACTGAAGTTCTGGAAAATAGCAATTGATTGTTAAAGAATAGATGGGTTTATATTTTGATTTTCTTATGTCTCTACATGATCCACTTCAGTTTGGATTCAGTGCTCATCACTCTGTTGAAACAGACCTGACCAAAGTATCCACTGATTTAAATAATGCTAAATGCAGGAGTCGCTGCTTTCTCCTAATTCTCTTTCAGCTTTCTGCTGCCTTCAACACTGTTGATCATCAACAATTTCTTCTCATCCTCTGTAATGTCAGTCTCTGTTGGTGCTCCTCCTACTTCTCCCAGCGCTCTTTCAATATTTCTTTCTCTAGCTATATTTCTTCCCCGCAACCCCTCGCTGTTGGTGTTCCCCAAGGTTCTGTCCTTGGTCCCCTATTGTTTTCAATCTATACTGTCCTTGGTAAATTCATCAGCTCCTTTGGCTTCTAATATCACTTCTACACAAATGACACGCAAATCTATCTATCCTCTCCTGATCCCTCACCGTCCCTCTTTTTACATTTTTTAAAGATTATTGAGGATATCAATATGTAACATCAAATATGTAATTCGATTTTATACAAAGTATCAAGAAATAGCATAATTGTTGATGGTACAATACAAGAAAGGAATAAAAAACAACATTAGAAATAGTTGCAATAAATCTTCCCAGGCAATACCCAGTATGACATAGTGTCTTAAGACCAAAAGACCAGAAACGACTCTGCCAAGTGCTACCCTCTTGTCCACTTTTGATCGCATAGTAGAAGTTTTGGGGAGGGGAGATTTTATGCATAGTGAGTCGTAACCTATTTGCACAAAGCAGGTGGTCACTGTGAAGAGGTTATAGGAATCCGTCTGGTATTACTTGTGGACCAGGAGGCCATTCAAGGTCTCGCACTGCCAGGAGATAGGAGGAGCCTGATTGGCATTAGCATGTCTGGGAAAGTCCTTATTGTGTCCCCTGCCATGTATGATAGTAAATGTCCCAAATGGTAATATTGCGAACAAGGTTGGTGTAACCAATGTGGTGGGGATCTTGAGTGGGATTAGAGAATAGTGGTTGGATGGATGGGAAAGTGTTATATAGCTCTTTCAGTGGTTTGTGGTTTGTCTGAGGAATTTCAGCCATGTTTCCCAGACTTTGCCATAGAGTACGTATTTGTGGGTAAGTGAGTGGTGGAGTTCTTCTATTACCCTCAGGTATTCTGCTCTTTGAATCCATTCTCTCAAAGATGGGGTCAATGTATTTTTCCATTAAGTAGGGATAAGCAAATTAGCCGCTGCAAGAAGGTGGTTTATGAGAGTGTGTCTTGGCTTAGGGATGGGAAAAGAATAAAGGAAGAACAACAAGGATCGCCATCCCTCTTTGTGTCTCTGACTGCCTCTTTGCTCTTATTGTCTTTCTTCCCTCAAGAGTTGCTGCTCCTGTGCCTGTCTCCCTCCAAAGAATGGCACTAACATCAGCTCTACCTCAAAGGCTCGCTGCGTACGTATTCTCTTTAACTCCAACCTCTTCTCACCCCTTATGTCCAGCCGATCGCCAAATCCTGCTGCTTCCATCTACAAAAACACAGCGCACATCAGGACATATTTAACATCTTGACTACTGCAATCCACTTCTCATTGGTCTTATGCATTCCAAGCCTGGCCCGTTACAGTCTATAATGAATGTGGTGGCAAGGCTCATCTTCCTGTCTGCATGCACTTACCAAACCTTTCCCCTCTGTCAGTCCAGTTTCCCGTAAGATATAGAGTACCATTTAAAAATCCGGTACTTTCTTACAAATATTGATATAATGCTGCAAATACCTACCACCCTCACTAATACACAACTATGTCCCCTTGACACCCCTAAACCTGTATCTATCCCCTGTTTGTGCATGTACCTCTGATGCTCACCTCAAGATTTCTGTAGGGCTGCACCGATCCTCCGGAACGCCCTCCCTTGCTCTGTCAGACTCTCACCCAGTCTCCATTCCTTCAAAAACTCAGTTCATTAGGAAAACATATCAATTAAACAGTTAATTAATAGCTGTCCCTCTCCACACTTTGGTAACCCACCTTGTGTCCCCTCCTGCAACTGTGTCATCCAAAAAACTAAGCCTTGATTGTAAACTATTCTAGCAACCTACTTCTCTGGTACAGTAAATATATATATAAGCTCGTTTGATCAGGCTCCCCAACACCCTCTGCACCCAGCTTGTTTTATTACAAATACTTTTCTGTTAGTCCTCCCATTGAATTTGTTGGCACTTTACAAATAATAATAATAATGGTGAATTGTAATAAATTGAAAACCAGGTTGCAATATCTAGTCTAAACTAGCCACGCTATGCCTCTAGCTCAGTTAAAGAATGATTCTGGGTTCGCTAGGTTTTCTCAAAGTTTTACAATTCAGTTTTTACATTCACTTCAATTCACTGTGTAGTTTATAAATCTCTTTAGGGTCTGTTCACTAAACAATGTATTGAGTGGTATTGAAACCTGAAATGGAAAATAAAGTAAAATATTTAAAAAAGTAAATTTGAAAAAAAAAATATATATATATATATAGTTGATTTAGACAATTTCAAACAAATTACTTGCAAATGACTATATATGCTGAAGCTGAATAAATACTTTGGAGTGTCATTATGCTGTTGTAGTAAAAGCAGGGTGTACCTCCAAGGTCGTTGAGGTTGCTAAATCTCCATGTGAGCAATCTCCCTCCTTCTTTAGTACATATGAGATTTCTCTGACTGGAGTTTAAGCTCTATAACAGGGAAGTTGGACATCCCAGCTCTATCACTCATCCTCTGGCATTAAGCATGGCCCAATGAACATTATGCATAATTTTCTCTGCTTCAGTTCAGTCTCCACTGCTGTATGCAGAACCATGCTCGTCCCTTCCTCTACCTTTCTGCACTGCGGGCACAATTATCTGGGTAGATGGAAGCACTGATCTTTACTGACATGCCCCTCGGATCAGCCAATGCATCCAATGAGTTCTGGGAATGGGTAGTGAAGATGCGAAGGAGACTTGTTCCATGACATATGTAATTTATACTGGCACGGGGAGCCTGCTAGCTGGAAGCGGGGACGAGCCACTCCCTTAACCTCTTCAATGACAGGTGAACAAGGCACACGTTCAGCCTTCGGAAAGAATGAGCTGGGAAATAGTCTCTGGGGTAACGAGACGAGACTGCAAAACTCAGGTGTCAAGTGCTTGACTGTAAATAATCCTTGTGAGTACAGTAGATTCTAACAATCCATATAATATAACAGAGATAATAATAAATCAAACTTCTCAAGCCACGACCATTTTGAATTTGGCATTGCCTTCCCAGTTTAGAATCCACAGCATTCTGGGTTATTTTACCTGTACCCTGCTACTCCAGGACATGTTTGGCCGGTGGTTGCAAAGAATTCTGTGTTTAACAACTGCAAGTACAGCAGGCATGCTGGCTGGCAAAATGTCCGATATGTACTAGACAGCCAGTTCGCCATGTTGGAAGGTATGATATCATGTCATAAATAGAGATGTCGGGAACCGTCCGGTCAGCTGACACATCCCGGCCAATTTCCAGCAGACCCTCCCAGACCCTCCTACTTCCTGGACAGCATCCATGTCAACATGGATGCTGTCCAGGAAGTAGGAGGGTTCTGGGATCCTCACCCTGATGCATCACTCCATCAACACGTGGGTGACAATACCTCTGTAAGTTTAGAAAGCATCCCTTTCCCTGGGAGACCTTTCCCACCTCTTTAGAACAATGCAAAGTCCTGGAAGAATGTTTTATGCCTGAAGCATACACAGTCAGGGCCGGCCTTAGGGGTGTGCGAGCTGTGCGGCCGCACAGGGCGCCATGGCAACAGGGGCGCCGGGCGGCTGACACATCTCGCACTCAGTCACTCACAGTTCGGCCCGAGTCATGTACAGAGCAAGTCAAGTGCATAATGCTGTGCACTTGACTTGCAAATTATGAAGAGAGCAGCGGCCGGGAGAGAAAGTAGGTCAAGAGCACGGAGGAAGAGCGTGCTCCGCCTCCACAGTCATTCGCGGAAGGATCCGCACAGTCAGTTTGAGGGAGGTGGTCAGTGCTTTGGTATCAAGGTCGGCAAACTGGGACACTGTCAGGAGGGGCCAGGGAGCAGCAAGCTTCAATGTGAGTCTGCTCATTCTTGTTATAACTATTGCATTTTTTTATCAAATAGATTTTTTTTTGTTTTTTTTTAAGGGTGGCAGGTGTTTTTGTGTGTGGGGGGGGGATTTGCAGAAGGGAGAGCAGAGGTTTTCTAGCTGGGATTTTGGGACAGGGGTTTTGGTTTATGGAGGAGCAGAGGTTTTATAGAAGGGGTTAGGGGTTTTGTAAAATAGGGGGTAGAGGTTTTGGTGTAGGGGAGAGGTTTTGTAGAAGAGGGGGCAAGCATTTCTGGTGAAGTGGCAGAGGAAAGAATTTTGTGGAGGGGGCATGGGTTTTGTTGAAGAGGGGGCAGGGGGTTTGTAGAGGGGGCAGGAGTTTAGTATAAGGGAGGCAGGAGTATAGTATAAGGGGGACTGGGGTTTAGTATAAGGGGAGCAGGGGTTTAGTATACGGGGGTCAGGTGTTTAGTATAAGGGGGCAGGAGTTTAGTATAAGGGGCAGGGGTTTAGTATAAGGGAGCAGGGGGTTTAGTATAAGGGAGCAGGGGTTTAGTATTTGGGGAGCAGGGGTTTAGTATAAGGAGAGCAGAGGTTTAGTAGAAGGGGAGCAGGGGTTTATGTAGAAGGGGAGCAGGAGTTTAGTATAAGGGGAGCAGGAGTTTAGTATAAGGGAGCAGGGGTTTAGTATACGGGGAGCAGGAGTTTAGTATAAGGGGAGCAGGGGTTTAGTATAAGGAGAGCAGAGGTTTAGTATAAGGAGAGCAGAGGTTTATGTAGAAGGGGAGCAGGGGTTTAGTATAAAGGAGCAGGGGTTTAGTATAAGGGGAGCAGGAGTTTAGTATAAGGAAGCAGGAGTTTAGTTTAAGGGGCAGGGGTTTAGTATAAGGGGAGCATGGGCTTACTATAAGGGGGAAGAGGTTTAGTATAAGGGAGCAGGGGTTTAGTATAAGGGGAGCAGAGGTTTATATAGAAGGGGAGCAGGGGTTTAGTATAAGGGGAGCAGAGGTTTATATAGAAGGGGAGCAGAGGTTAGTATAAGGGAGCAGAGGTTTATGTAGAAGGGGAGCAGGGGTTTAGTATAAAGGAGCAGGGGTTTAGTATAAGGGGAGCAGAGGTTTATATAGAAGGGGAGCAGGGGTTTAGTATAAGAGGAGCAGAGGTTTAAATAGAAGGGGAGCAGAGGTTTAGTATAAGGGAGCAGAGGTTTAGTATAAGGGAGCAGAGGTTTATGTAGAAGGAGAGCAGAGGTTTATGTAGAATGAGTGCAGGGCTTTTGTAGAGGGTGGCAGTGGTTTTGGTGGAGGGGGAAGGTTTTTAGTGATATTATGTGTACATTACTGTATAGTAGATATATATAATGATAGCATGTGTTTTGTTAAAGGAGGAGAAGGAATTTTGTAGAACGGTGGGCAGGGGTTTTATTAAAGGGGGAGCAGGGTTTTTGTAGAAGGGGCAGGGGTTTTATTAAAGGGAGGCAGAGTTTTTGTAGAAAGGGGGGCAGGGGTTTTGTGGAAGGGTTTTGTAGTAGGCGGAACAGGGCTATTGTTGAAGGGGCAAGGGTTTTGCTGCAGGGGGGGCGCCACGTGTTGGGTTCGCACAGGGCGCCTGATTACCTAAGGCCGGCCCTGTACACAGTTACATGGGACGAAAGGCCAGAAGGAAATTTGTACTAAGCACCTGTCCGAAATTTCTTCCGCCTCCCCAATGCCAGAGGAGTTGTGTTTTTGCTTTGCTGCAGTAAAAAACAGTTTCAAACCAAGAAGTAAGTCTATTTTTTGCTTAAATAAATACTGGCTGCTGGCTGGGATCCCTTTGCTTTTGACAGGCTTTGTGAAATGAAATACCATTTGCTTCAGTATCTATGCTCTGTGATGCCACGTACCTTTACATGTTGTCCACACAGCATTATGGGATACTACTGATTTGCATTTTATGCCAGACTGTGCCTTGACAGACAAACGCATGCTATACAAAGAAAAATTAGAAAAATATTTAGCAAAACAAACAAATAAAATGCACAACTTACAGTTATATTTTAAAACAATGTAAACACTCATACAAATTACAAGCCACGTGCTAATCATAATATGAAACTTGTGTAACAGAGACAAGTACAATTTCCTGTCTAACAATTACATCATATGCTAGATTTCCATATGAAAGAACCCAGAAGTGTAATACAGATCAGATTGGAATCCCACTATGCAGTTGTCCAGGAGTATTTGGTTTGGTATCAGTAGCAATAGGCTACAACGAAATAATGAAATCCATATAATTTTAACAAATAAGGCTCCAACCACAATATGGCTATGATTTCATATTTTTGAATAAGCTTTTGAAATTATCCCAATCTGTTAGAAAAACATTTCAAATGACTTGCAGGCTATTCTCGCTAGCCAAAGCATTGTGTAGTTTCGAGCCACTCCAACACTCGACATGTGTGAAGGTAGTGGGGACAGTGTAGGAGGGTACCCTTTTACTTACGATAACTTACCCATAATAACTTGACGGAAGACGGAAGTGGTGACAACAGGCCACAGCTTTATTTAAAACAATAAACATTATCAACATAACATATTAATATAATATATCCAATAACAGTAACTTTATCACTGGATACTTGCCAACCCTTTACCTTAACATCGGCGCTTGCCTCCCCCCCTCGTCCTTGCACCACAACTGACCTTCCAACTGGCCTTCCAATACCATCCATGCTAACCACTGGCTTTGGCTCAATGGGCACGTCCTTTACCCATACCTTAAACCCGAGGTTAGGGGAGGGATCAGCCCTGAACCTTTTCCACTGGACCGCTGGTCCAACCCTGATTGGCAAGGACCTTCATCCGCCTGCAGTGACAAGAAAAGAAAATTAGCACATACAGAGAACACCCGAACAGAAACATAACAAGGGAGGCTGGACGGGAATCTGTTCCCAAGCAGAATAATTAAGATGGCTGGGAGATGAAAGGAAATGGCTCCCCTATATATATATATATATATATATATATATATATATGGCCACCCCCCTTTTAGCCTATAGCTCATCCCCCCACTTACAGGTTCTTTTCCTTCCTTGAACTTTCTACACTCCGCCCCACTCAAACTCGTCAATGTCCCTGTTCCCAGCTAGCCCTTTGGTCTGCCTCTTCAGGGTCTGGATGATATATTTACACACATTAGGAATATAGGGCCCGGGCACCATACACATGTATCAGCTGTGCCCCCAAATGGCGGCCCTGATCCTGTATAGCTACCTTTTATTAAGTGATTAGGTTGTGCCAAAATCTTGGGGCCAACACTTTCTTTTCAAGGAAAACCTGATATAATCTAATGTACTGACTCGAAATTAGCTGTCATTCTACAACCAGGTAAACAATCTTACAATCTAAGTTTATACGACAAATGCCTTCGATTATTCTACAGATCCATGATAGGCAATATGTAGTTTGTTGTGCTATAACTTTTCGGCCAGCCTCAGACACACTCCCTTGATTGCTAGGATTGTTGCTGAGCATAATGGGAAAACGTGAAAGCCCCCGTTCATTGCGCAGATCTACAGACAATTTATTTAAGCAAAAAAAAATGCTTCCTCCATTCATTCAGTAAATGTTAGAAACAGCGGAGAATTCATCGACAATAGAAGGTAGTGCAAATTAACTTTACAGTCAGGCTAAAAATAATGAGCAACAAACAAGGACGGGAATTTTTTGACACTTGAAAAAGACAAATCTAATATTTATTCATAAAATAATTCTGAGAATGCCTTCTCTTGATTACAAATACCACTTTCACCTTTACGTTTTTTTATTTTGCTGTCAAGGATAAAAAGCTATTTTTTTTTTTTATAACAAATCAACAATTAATTTATTTTATTATATTCAAAATGTGGCCTTTAATATATTGGGCTAATATTGAACTGCATTATATTATACAGCCCTGCCCAATTGTTTGCAGTGCTCAGATGGACTGTGATGTTAGTTCTTTGCTTCCTTGTTATATTTAAAAAAGGGGTTAAGATTAGCCCACATTTTATTATTATTATTATTCACAATTGTAGAATGGGGATATCTGACAGCAAGTAACAGAGACAAAGATTAAAATTACCAGAGACAAGAGATAAAGCAAGCCCTGCTCAAATAAATACATACAATAGGTGGAACACACATCTGACGATTCTAGAGAAAGAAACAGAATATCATAGTATAATACTGTTAAATAAAAATATGATAGATGGCAATAGAGCAATGTTACTCACAAGCCCAGAGCCAGTATAACATATGGCTCTTATGTGAAGCGCAGTGGGACTCTTAATAGGATGTCCCCATCCTTCTTCCTAATGAGCAAATGAGCTTACAATCTAAGTATTTAAAAAGAGCAACATTATTAATTATACCGGAACAAAGAAGTTCTCCCAGAAGTTGAAATACCTCTTATGACACATCACGTTGCTTTAGTTACTATCAGTATATGGGTAATTAGCGTCATGTTGTACAGTATATTGATGATCACACATATTTCCTCACTCCTTTGCCTACCATGTTACCTCCCCTTCTCCCATGTTACCTCCCCTTCTCCAATGTTATCTCCACTTCTCCCACGTTATCTCCGCTTCTCCCACGTTATCTCCCCTTTTCCCATGTTATCTCCCATTCTCCCATGTTACCTCCCCCTTACAGTAATTGCGGCTGTAATGTGGGTGGGATTGGGGCTGTAATGAGGCAGGGATAAGGGGCTGCACTGTGTCTGGTGGGTGGGGACTGTACTTTATCTTTGGGAGATAAGGGCTGTAATATGGGAGATTGGAGTTGTACTGTGTCCAGATATATGGGCTATACTATGTTTGTGGTGGACAGAGTGTTTACTGTGGGGGTAAAGGGGCTGCAATGTGGGTGGTAAGGGGCTGTATTGTAGGGTAGAGGGGACAGCACTGTGGGCGGGTAAGGAGCTGTACAGTGGGGTTGTAAGGGGCTGCAGAGTGGGGAGGTAAGGGGGTGCACAGTGGGGGGGGAGGTAGGAACTGCACAGTAGGAGTTGGGGAGGTTACTTAAAATATTAAAATACAGTAATAGTTATATTAATTTGTTGAGTCCCTTTGGCCAGTGAGGGGGGAACACTGGTGGTCCTCGTGTGGCTGTTGCAAAAGTATCAGTGTTGTCGTGGTAACCCATGACAACGCTCTGATCATCTGGGAGCTGTTCACTGCATGTTCCCCGACAGTACAAAGGACTGGCCAGTGAGGGAGATTCATGATCTCCCTACTGGACGCAGAAACCACTTTTAGCACTCAACCTTGGAGGAGCCAGCAGGGAGATTACATGATGCCAATCACGGCCCACTGGCCAGTTTGCCTGATGGCCAGACCGGGCCTGCTCCCAAGTGTCCCTATTTAGGAGGGACAATCCCTATTTTTGGTATAAATCCCTCTGTTCCTCTTTTCTATCTTAATATTCCTCTTTTCTAGAAGCTATTGTTGGTGGGTCTGAGTGTACAACAGAGCTCCACGGCAATAATACTCCCAGTAATGTGTCTTTAAACTACAATAAATGTGTTTAGAAATCAGTCTGTGTAAATAAGATACATTGTTTTTGTTCTAAATAACATTTTAGTTCCACGAATTATTAGTAAGTCACCTAAAATACCCCACCCACAACCCTGAAATAAAAGTGTCCCCCTTTGTTTATTTTAAATGTTGTCAGTATGACATTGTGTTGGTCACACAGAACCAATTATCCAAACAGTCCCATGTTGCGTGTGACAGTCCCAGATTCAGGATACTGTCTTAATATCCTGCTAATGCTGTGTAAACTGCACGCAGGGCATCATCCCTCACTGGGGTTGGCCAGAGCAGCTGTCAGTCAGTCCAGCTGTCAGACATTTTATCAGATGTTTTGGGAAATGGTTCTATGCTCATTGATATACCAGGTAAATTGGTAGCAGGTGAAGCTGGAGATTGTTCTAGATCTGCTGTAAATGTTGTCTGGAAAACCTCAAATGCAATGGCGAAGGGGTGGTCAATGGGTAGATCATCCATTGTTGTCCATCTAGATATCCCATGATGCTTTGCCCGCCAGGTTTTCGGTTTACTTTTTGGATATCTCTGGCGTATAGGCCATAAAATATACTGAACTACTTATTTACTGCAGAGCGTGAAAAGAATTCCTCCTTATCAATGTCTCCACTTCTCTAATACTTTTTAAGCCTTCTCTGTGTGTCGCAAGCAGTGAAGGGATAAGGAAAATGACTGTATTAGTCATATTTTCTGTTTTAGAAATGAGATTAAGACTCGGTTAGAGAATGTACACACATCATGATATTCTACAAACATATGGGGAGGACTCCAGTATTCCGTCTGGGTCATTTCATTTGCCCTTCCCTACAGCAAAAAATTGATTTTAATTCTGTCCCTCACACACAGTGGAAGGTACACGAGTATATTCTCTCTAATCTGGGTGCATTCAAGTGTGTTAACCATTGGTGTCCCAGAGAACGCGAGCTGTGATCAATGGGAGCACTCTGTGATAGAAAGCTTGATGTGGACACACTTGGTGATGATCTCTAAATTCACGGCTTCAGATTTAGGTCACACGTATTTATAGGACATTGTACAACCACGTCACCTCTGGTTCCCAATGCTTATAGCCTTAAAAATTGGTTAAATGAAACGGGAAATAAATAAAATCATAAAGTCAATAATTGGTACCCTATTAATAAACAGCCGCAGGCCTAATTTTAAGGTAAAAGAAGCAAAATGTCACAAATGTATCTGTTTCTGGCATCATGCTGTTCCTTTCAGCTTGTGCAGCCACACTGCTCCTTTCCGCCGGTCGCGCAGCCCGAACACTCTACATGGCCATGCAACCTGAGCAGCGAATACTTACCATTCGGTCTGACAAACAGCTCCCTCCGCTGGCTTGCGGGGGCCGAAATTCTTTTTTTTTTTTTTCTTGCATTATAATAGACCCTGCCCGTTTTATTGGCGTCTTTTATCGTTCGAGTGCTGTGACGTCACGCCAGCCCTTTAAGTGGCCACATCATCCACGCGACGCCATTATCAATTATTTTGGAGTCGCAGAGATGACGTGGACCAATCAAAATTAATGTTAGCATATATAAAGCTAATTTGGGCCCTTGTTCCTCGCCCTATCATGGTTTCTGTCCGGATACATGTTAGTGTTCATAGTAACTCTCTCTTGTTACCTGGCTTGTTATTCCATTTATCTGTATTTCTATATCCCTGACATAGGCTATTCCTGACTCTGTCTTTATCTGTATTAATGTTAAGTCTCTTTAAGGCCTGGTTATATGTCTTTCTAGTATCTCTGTTTGTGGGATTCGCCGTTCCTGTAAGTTGGGATACGACCCCGTGAAAGTTGGTTCAAGTGCAGTGAAACTTAATATTTTTGGCTGTCACAAAAGTCATCCATAGTTCATCCTTGTGAACTTGCTGGATCCATTCATTCTCTGTCCCTTGCTAAATTTCATTGGTAAAGCCATTAAGGGCTACCATGGGCATAGCAACTCATTTGATAATCAGTTGCTGTTATCAGTTGCTGTTATCTCCCCCTATCGAGATCTGCTCCAGCCACGTCCATGTTGAATTTTTAAGTGCTAATGGGAAAAGGTTTCTGTACCTTCCTAATGTCTTGGGAAATAATAAAGTAACTTCTTAATCAATGGGGGAAATTATTCTGTCATTTTCTTCAACCATAGGGTAAAGGATCTGAGATTCTCATAAACTGAGAATAACAAAGATTCCGTTAGTCTCCCAGCTGAATGGAAATGGTTACATAGCTCTCCTAAACCAAGGAAAATTCTAAATTGGTCTCTTTAACTAACTAAATGGAAGAGAGTTTCCCATAATGCATGTATTGCAGATCTGTATTCCCTGTTTGCGATAAGGAGCATATGACATGACATCCTTCAGCCATACACATGTAGCTTTGGTTCGACAGTGTTTGAAAACTGATAGTTAGTCTCTATGGTCTTCCCAGCTTCACTCCCTGCCCAGAAGCCAGGAAGACCATAGAGACTAATTTTTAGTTTTCAAACACTGTCTGACCCAAGGTGTATGTATATGTCCTTAAGGATCCTGTCATATACTAAAGGTAGGGATGAGTTTTTTTAAAATTTGTTTACATATACTTATTTTAAACAAATATCTATTTCATTTTCAAAACTTCATGACAGGATTATTATATATAAAAAAAATGTGTGATGACAGTTGTCCTTTAATTCACTAAACTAGGAATTGTGGAAAAATGAAAAGAGACTTCAAAATTTAGACCAAAATATCAAAAATTAAAAAAAAAAAGTACTATTTATTGAAAATGTTCTGTGTTTGCAACCCCCCTCCCCTCCCCCCAAAAAATAAAATAATGGTAACGTCCAGAGGCTTACAGTGTACCCACACTTCTAATCAGCCCATACAAAGGACACAAATCTAGCATTATACGTCAGTAAATGGTTAAAGTGAGGATTACTCTTGTTTTTTATATGTCTTCCTTAACGCCTTGCAGGGAGATTTTAAATCTGTAATATTTTTGGCATCATTGCTGCTTTTTTGTTAAACGTTTATCTTTCCCCCACAGGAGCTTTCCGGGGAATGTGCAAGAAAATTGATCACTTCCCGGAGGACGCGGATTATGAGCAAGACACGGCGGAGTATTTACTGCGTAAGGACATTGTTACCACAAATTATCATGCTGTCTGACCTTCATCCTCAATATGGCACACTGTGACTATGTAAAACAATGTAAAAAGACAATCTTGTAATATTAACAATTTTAAAAACAGTTGCGGTTAGAAAGGAAACGTTGCCAAAGTTAACAATCTGATTAACTAGAGGGATTGTCGTAGAGCACACACTGTATCGGAAAAGGCCACAATTAATTTTATTGATGCAGCGGCAACAAATTATGTAGCACGGTACAATAACCTTTACAAATGTAAGAAATTGGTACGACTGAGCCGTGTGTTGAGCAATAGTTGGTATTTTTTTTTCAATCTTTGTTTTATTAAGATGGTATCATGAAAGAGAAAATAATCAAAATGACATCAGAGTTCGACTGCTTGACACAATAATGAGATACACAATTCCAGTCATAGACATTTCTGGGTGACAACATCTAATTTCTTTTTGTTTTTTTTTAAATAAATAAAATCACTATATGTAAATGCCATGTCTACACTGGGACAGAGGTTAAACTTGCAGATGGTTAGGTAGACATGGTGGTTGCAATGAAATAAGTGGTCAAGAGTTAGTTTAATACTAGATACTTAACTAACATGCTGAGTGTAGCGGAGCTGCAATATTAAAATCAGTTTCCACGAACACAGCCGAAACACCACCGGGGTAAAGTTTTGACCGACCTCACATGAGGCTCCTGCCCAAAATAGTTCCATAGAATCCGGGGTTGCGGTCAGTCTCTTTTGGGGGCACGAAAACGCACAAAATACGGAACGGATGCTTCAACCTGTATTCTATTTGTGTGCCCCTCATTCATGGGAATGATTCCACTGAACAGTGTTCTTCTCAGATGTATAGAAACAAATGCAGGCGATGATGGAAGTTCAGCGGTGTTCGCGAGGTCGAGTGTCCGATTTTAGTTCCATGCACTCGATGACCAAACACTGCTGCCTGCATGCACGGGAACAAGATGGCCTCCACCATGTGTTCGTACATATGAACGACGGCCACCCATCCGACCGTTTAGGCTGAGGTGTGAACCATTATTGGAGTGTTACTAGGGGTGATGGAGGTTAACAAGCATACGGGTGGTAGGGATTTTTTGTGGTTTTGTTCGGTTGTTGAACAAAATAAGGATCAAAACTAGCTGAATGAGGTTTTACCGAACAAACCAGGGAATCATAGGGGAACATAGTAGTCCAGTGACCTGGGGGTTTGTCACACTCATAGGAACATGGGTTAATTCCGCCACACTGAGTATACCACTGGGACTTAGTGTTTAAGACTCTGCATGCACAAAAGGAATATCACATTAATATAAAATAAGGGTAATAAAGGTTACAAAAGCGGTAAGTGATTTATCAACAAGGACTCTCACATGGTTTGCACATCGCAAACCAACCACAGTCAGCCAATACCTAAACTTGGCAGAGTAACCGCAGGAGCATGTAGGCTGCAGAGGGTAAAGTGAGTGATTTAGGCGGGATGAGGTCCTCCTCCAGCCCCATGCCTGTGTGGAAGGCGGCATCTGTTGACCACAGACTCGAAGGCTCTGTGAGTCCAAGTCTTCCCTACATTGGGTGCAGCAAGAGACCCAGGTGTTTTTCTGCCGCCAGCGGCAGGCAGTCTTCTAGCAGGGTAGTCAATGCTTCGGAGGCAGTCTCCTCAGGACCCTCGGCCTAAGTAGGCAAACAGCATAGGGAGCTAGTGTAGGAGTAGGGGATTTGCCCGAAAGAGGCCATCTCAGCACCCCATCCCCAACTTTCTTCACCTCCCTCACAGTGTGGGTTGGTGTTGGAGCCATGCGCTTCTCTAGCATTGCCCAGAAGCATTGAAAGATCGAGTGAGCACTCCACCATATTGCAGCAGCCTCCGCAGGACTGCCTTGATGTAAACTCCAGTGATGGAGGTATGTCTGCCATTTTGCCAGGATTGCCGCCTGCGACGCATCAACTGCAGTAAGTTACTGGAACCAAGAGAGGTACGTAAATCAAGCCAGTGGGAACCGGGATAACCCTCACCGGTCCAAAGGGGGAAACAGGGAGGGCAAGATGATCCATCAAGGAGCTGCACCAGGCAATCGGTAAGTAGGTAAGGAGGCAGTCGTCAACCTCACCCATTGCTCGAGTAGATAAAGCTCCGGATGCTCAATCTTCCACAAGGGCTTCACAGTGTCCAGACCAGGGTTCTCTAGCCTTAGCAGTAGGTACTTAGGTTACAGCTGTCAGTTTTTTCTTATTTGGAGCTTAATAAGTAAAATCTGGCAAGAATCTGGCAATGAAACGTAAATAACACGAAATGCTGCAGGTGGTCCTGCTTTCAGGTCTTGGATTTTCTACATTTCTATTTATTTACCTTTCATTATATTTTTAGTTTATATGCTTGGACCATTATAGCATACACGAGGACTGCTGTCTCAGTCTAATGCCATGTGTGCTTTTTTTTAAAATTGAAATAAATGCATTTTTCTACGATTTATTCCTTGTATACTGTTTGAGGTGAGTGCAGATCAAAACCTTTTCTTTTTTGTGAAGTATTCTTTGACTATTGTTTGACTACTGGGAGGATTCCAGCACCGACAGGGTAACCCTGATATACATCTACTGAAGTGTGTTAAGGATACCTTCAACTAAACAGATAAATTTGTTTTTTTGGAACTGCTGCAACTCTTTTCTTGAATCATGAATTTTACCTCACTCACTCTTTTGACTTGTAACAGATTCTGCCTGACATTGTGATTCTGTCTGTGACTGTAATTCTGTCTGTGACTGTGATTCTGGCTTGGACTGTCATTGTGATACTGGCTGTGACTGTGATTCTGTCTGTCTATGTGTTTCAGCCCGTCTCTGTGATTCTGGCTGTGACTGTTCTTCTACCTGTCTCTGTGATTGTGCCTGCACCCCTCACACACACTGCACCCCATTCACAGACACTGCATCCCTCACACACACTGCGCCCCTCACACACACATTGCACCCCTCACACACACTGCACCCATACACAGACACTGTATCCCTCACACACACTGCGCCCCTCACACACACATTGCACCCCTCACACACACTGCACCCATACACAGACACTGTATCCCTCACACACACTGCACTCCTCACACACACATTGCACCTCTCACACGCACAGCACCCCTCACACTCATTGCAACCCTCACACACACTAAACCCCTCACATGCACTGCACCCCTCATACACACTGCACCCCAGACACTGCATCCCTCACACACACTGCACCCCACACACAAACACTAAATTCCTCACACACACACACACACACACACACTCTACTACTCCTATACCCTACTACAGGAAATATCTCGGCAGACTCCAGGTAAGTTGTCAAACTGTTCTTAAACAGTTTGACTACTTACTCTGGGAGGGTGCCACGGCACTCTTGGCACCATACCCACTAAAGAGGGCTGTATTGCCTGGGTTGTTCCTTTAAATAATCTACCAGTGCCGCTCGCAAGATTAGGTTCTGGATCCGCCACTGATTGTGATTCTGTATAAACGGCTGTCACTGTGATTTTGGCTATCTCTTGGTCACTTGTTGTCACTGTGATTGTGGCTATGACCAGGGCCGTCTTTAAGGAGGGGCAAAAGGGGCAGCTGCCCCGGGCCCATGGGACCCCTGCAGCACCTGAGGTAATCAGGGGCGACAGCCCTTTAATACTGCTCTGGACCGGGCCCTTGTAATATGGGGGTTGGCTGAATACAAACACACAGCTAGCCCCTCACACACTGCCCTGTGATCCCTTTTCTTCTCCGTGGCATGCTGGGAGGCAGTGAGGTCAGATCACTTCCTCCTAAGTGCCGCTGGGGAGGAGGCACACACCACACGGAGGAGGATGCAAGCATTGTTGGGGAGAGGGACTGAGAAAGCTGATGGCAGACTCCCATCATCATGGGCCAACAAGCTCCCACTGGACCCCAGGGAAGCCACCTTTCTGTACCCAAAAGGTAAGGAGACAGGAGGATGTTAAAAATCCTAGAAGAACCTGACAGTTCCCTATTAAATATACATTTTAAAAGTATTTATTTTAACATATTATTGCATCAAGTGTTATCAAAGGCTGTATACCATTTCCAAATGTCACTTTTGCCAAATTCTGGACCAGGGTATGTAAGAACAGAGTTGAGACATTATTATGGCCAAGGTTGCTGGGAGTTGCTGTCCAAGAGCTGCTAGAAGGCAGAGATTAAAATATGTAAATGTACACATATGTGTGTGTATCTGGCTGTGTTTATGTCCTTGTGTGTATCTGGCTGTGTTTATGTCCTTGTGTGTATCCTTGTGTGTATCTGGCTGTGTTTGTGTCAGTGTTTGTATCTGGCTGTGTTTGTCTGTGTGTCAGTGTTTCTGTGTGTATGTATACCTGTGTATGTGTACTTGTGTGTCAGTGTGTATGTGTACCTGTGTGTGTGTGTGTGTTTGTGTGTGTGTGTATGTATGTATGCATGTGTCAGTGTGTGTAAGTGTGCATCTGAGCGTGTGGTAATGCATACATCCCAGCATTTTAATGCCAACACAAATACACTCCATCTCTAGCACTGTACACATATACACCCCTGCAGTTATACCTTTATGTATGTGTGTATCTGAGTGTGTGTGTACATACCTGTGTCAGTGTGTGTGTGACTGTGATTCTCCCTGTCATTGTGATTCTATCTGTCACTGTGATTCTACCTGTCTCTGTGATTCTGGCTTTTACTTGGTTACAGGCTGTCACTGTGCTGCCAGTATTGGGATATATGAGATCAAGATGCTGGTGGCTAGGGGCATTACGAGTGATGCAACTTGTTTGTCTAATTAAGGGCTCACTAGCTGTCACTGTTTTAATTGTCATCATTTACATTCTGGCACTCAGTTGGGAATAGGTTGTCAATGGACATTCTCGAGGTCTCTTGGTCACTGGCTGTCAGTGTATAAACTGCTGTCACTGTGATTCTGGGTGTCTCTTGGACACTGGTGGTCAGTGTATAAACTGCTGTCACTGTGATTCTGGCTGTCTCTTGGTCACTGGCTGTCAGTGTATAAACTGCTGTCACTGTGATTCTGGGTGTCTCTTGGACACTGGTGGTCAGTGTATAAACTGCTGTCACTGTGATTCTGGCTGTCTCTTGGTCACTGGCTGCCAGTGTATAAATTGCTGTCACTGTGATTCTGGCTATCTCTTGGTCACTGGCTGTCAGTGTATAAACTGCTGTCACTGTGATTCTGGGTGTCTCTTGGACACTGGTGGTCAGTGTATAAACTGCTGTCACTGTGATTCTGGCTGTCTCTTGGTCACTGGCTGCCAGTGTATAAATTGCTGTCACTGTGATTCTGGCTATCTCTTGGTCACTGGCTGTCAGTGTATAAACTGCTGTCACTGTGATTCTGGCTGTCTCTTGGTCACTGGCTGTCAGTGTATAAACTGCTGTCACTGGGATCCTGGCTTTTTTCTTGGTCACTGGCTGTCAGTGTATAAACTGCTGTCACTGTGATTCTGGCTGTCTCTTGGTCACTGGCTGTCAGTGTATAAACTGCTGTCACTGTGATTTTGGCTGTCTCTTGCTCACTGGCTGTCACTATGCTTCTGGGTGTCTCTTGGTCACTGGATGTCAGTGTATAAATTGCTGTCACTGTGATTCTGGCTATCTCTTGGTCACTGGCTGTCGCTATGATTCTGGGTGTCGCTTGGTCACTGGCTGTCAGTGTATAAACTGCTGTCACTGTGATTTCGGCTATCTCTTGATCATTGGCTGTCACTGTAATTCTGGCTGTCGCTTTGTCACTGGCTGTCAGTGTATAAACTGCTGTCACTGTGATTCTGGCTGTCTCTTGGACACTGGCTTTCAGTGTATAAACTGCTGTCACTGTGGTTTTGGCTGTCTCTTGGTCACTGGCTGTCACTGTGATTCTGGCTGTCGCTATGTCACTGGCTGTCAGTGTATAAACTGATGTCACTGTGATTCTGGCTGTCTCTTGATCACTGGCTGTCAGTGTATAAACTGCTGTCACTGTGATTCTGGCTGTCTCTTGGTCACTGGCTGTCAGTGTATAAACTGCTGTCACTGTGAGTTTGGCTGTCTCTTGATCACTGGCTGTCAGTGTATAAACTGCTGTCACTGTGATTCTGGCTGTCTCTTGGACACTGTCTGTCAGTGTATAAACTGCTGTCACTGTGGTTTTGGCTGTCTCTTGGTCACTGGCTGTCACTGTGATTCTGGCTGTCACTATGTCGCTGGCTGTCAGTGTATAAACTGCTGTCACTGTGATTTTGGCTGTCTCTTGGTCACTAGCTGTCACTGTGATTCTGGCTGTCTCTTCATCACTGGCTGTCAGTGTATAAACAGTTGTCACTGTGATTCTGGCAGTTTGTTGGTCACTGGCAGTCAGTGAGTAAGTGTCTGTCACTGCTCCCTGGTGATACTACCACAGATGGCAGGGATTGCTAATGCCCTCGATGTGCATTAGTTAGGAGAGGCCCAGAGGACCGTCTCAGTATGTTTTCCTGCACATCAGTTTCAGCTATGACAAGGTCCCAGTAAAAACAAGGTCGTAAAAGAACACTACACACATAAAGAACTTTAGCTTGCTAAAGCATTTTCATCTATTTTCATTATACAAAAAAAATCAGATTTTAATAGAAATTGGCACTTTTATAAAGTAACATTGTTACACCCCCCTGTTATCAGACAACTGGGTCCTGTTACTTCCTGGTTGTTCAGCTCAGTGGAGCTAAACTCAAGAGCCATGACTTGCCCCGAACACCTGCCTTGCAAAGACATGTCATTGAGCTGCATTGGGTAGTCTGTGATTGGACAGCCATGAAAATCTGGGCGGGGTTAGAAGGTGAGGGTTTGTAAAGGCAGCAGACTTGAGATCTGTAGCTCTAGCACACTGTTTGTAGATATACCCCCAATGAGAAAAGCGTCATTAAATGCAAGTATGTTTTCACTGGCGGTGTATCTAACAGTGATTGTTGTTTAAATGTATTTGTATTTTTTAGGGGATGGTCCCTTTAAAGGTTCTCCTATTTGTCCTAATGAGGAGGCCACCTATTAAATATTGCCTAAAAAAATACAAGTGGAAGAAAAAATTATTAAAGATCTAAATAAAGGCCTTTAGGTTTTGTAGAATTTTGATAAAAATTTCTGCTTTTCTAAGATTTAACTAATTTCCAAAATACATTTTCGACTTTCCAGCGGCGTTCTTGAATTATCTGAGTAACCATGAATAGTGGGCCTTGTGGGCTGCCGTGTTGATTTGTTTTAATGTATAATGAGGTATCGTGTTTGCCATATTGATTTGGGATATTGTTACAATTTTCCTTGATTTGATTATGAAGCGTGCAGCTGGTCATGCCCACAAAACATAACCCGCAAGGACAGCTCAATAACTAAATGACATTATTTATATGTGCAATGAAATAGATTGCTTGAATCTACGTTACTTACAGGATTAAGTTGTACCTTGACAAAATGCACAGCAGGAAACAGTGTATCGTATGAAGAAAGAAATTTATCTTCCCAGTCACTTAATGGTCAATAGCTATTCCCATTCAAACGTGAGCCAATCCTGTGCGTTGTAGAAATATGCCTTAAGGAAGCTGACTGATAGGGAAGAGAGGCTTGCTGTGACTCTGTTTAAATAAAGATACACAGATAGTTTGTTACAATCTACCAGAAGCCTATGGCAATTCTGGGGCAGCCGGGACAGTTTCTCATTTGTTAGGCGACTGATGTTTCATTTTTCTGTGATCGGCCCTTGTCTACCCTGGACACTTTGAAACATGTTCTCCTGCAGCAGAGATGAGTCTTTTTAGCAGACGTGAGATTATTCATGTGCAACAAAATGAAAATAGCAGATAGTCACCGGTATTTTATTGCACAGCTTGGCAAAGTGATCTGCTTATCAAATCCAGGTGAAGGGTAGGAGAAGGGCTGTGAGTTATTATAATATGTTTATTTATGAAGCACAAAGCGTCAAACATATTCCACAGCTCTGCATAATGAGCTACGGAAATATCTCAGATATGTGACTTTATTTACTTAATATGATTGCGAGGTAGTTTGTGAGATATTTTTAGATATATTGGGGGAAAAAAAGAATGAATTAGAAAATAAAAAATATTCTTAAAGGGTTACTCCATGCATTATGGTTCCCTGTTGCTAAATGATTGGCCCCCTTACCTGGGCCCCAACAGGCTCTGATGCTCATTGATCCAGTGATGCACTTCTGGCTTCTGTAGCGATGCAGAAGCCGCGGCGGTCGACATTCTTGGCTTAGAGCTGTAGCTGACTTCTCTGAGCCAATGACTGACATACTGTGGAACAAAACTTGCACAGAATTGACATTAGTTCCGGACGGGCCAATGACACCCCTATGATGGTGCCGGAGGTGGAGCAACACCTCCAGCAGCTAAGGAGTTAATCTCTCTAGTGCAGCTTTTTTTTTTTTTTTTTGACAATTTTTATTGTTTTTTTTCTTTCACTTATTTTTCGTTCCTTGAAGGAAAGAAGCGAAAAAAGATGATGTGGGGTACAGAACGTACAGGGCTGTGGGTAAAGACAAATTCAACAAATGCAATACATTTGAATTACTTATGCCATACAGTTGCAATACAGTTTTAATTCAATTGCGATACAGAGTTAGTTCATGTCACCCAGTTCTTAACGGGTTACATGTGACACAGATTCCACGTAGTTCTGGAGGAGATGCCATGGGGACCCCCTGGGCCACCTTGTTACTCTGCTGGCTTCCCCCTGGTGTATCCCCACCACCCCCCTCTGAGCCCTAATCATCCCTGGTTTGTGAGGGAGAATGAATCTGGTGAACCTTGTCCGGAGCTAGGTATCTGCATGTTGTGGAAAGGGGTTGTGTGGGTTTGTGGTGGGTGTTTCGGGTTTCAGCAAAACGGGATTTTGTGCGGTATAGTGTGCTTAATAATCTCAACCAGTGGTCTCCCCTGGGCGAGACTCAGCGATTAAACCTCCCATACCCCATGGATGAGCGTCTAGGTTAGCTCCATTCCATTCGGGTGGCTCACGTCTTTGTACCTGTGACTCTGGAATGACTTAGCGTCACAAGTCTTAATGGTGGGCTTGTGTGGTGTTATTGTTCCAATGGGCAAGTCGGAGTGTCAGGGTAAGTGGGTGTACTAGGCCTAAGGTAGCCCTTCCATAACCTCTGCGCTGCCAGGACATGTTTTCTGGGTGCCAGTTGTTAGTGAGTCATGGCTTTGTAGTCAATGTTAGTCATGATCTGCTGTTTCAGGGTGTTTGTTGAGGGGGCCTCTGTCGATTTCCACTCTCTAGCTATTAACGTAAAGGCTGAGATAAGGATGTGGAAAACCAGGATAGAGTCCAGCCTGCTAAATTGGCCTAGGGTGAGAAACAATATCCCTAGGTCTGGTTTAAGATTAAGTGTTGTGTTCAGTGTTCCCGCAATCATAGCATCTACTGCTTTCCAATATGGTCTGATGCGTGCACACTGCCACCAGACATTGCACATAGTTCCCCTTCAGTGTGGCATCTCCTGCAAATAGCCGAGGTATGGGGATATATCTTTGCTAGTCTATCAGGCACCATGTACCATCTATATTGCAATTTTCTCATTTGTTCCAAGTGGGAGACACAGGCCATTCTACCTTTGTGTGCTGTGTATGCCTCTTGCCACTGCTGAGCGGTGTAGGTGGAGTTGAGGTCCCCATGCCTTGCTTTGTCTAGGAGTTGTTGGTCCCAGTGTTGAGTAAGTTGTAACTAAGGGAGATGGTTCTTTTGCAGGTTATAGCGGATAGGCAGGCTTTCTATATCGTTGTCATGGGTAGTGTCATGTGCGCAGAGGCGGCCTGGCCACCCAGGGTGAACATTAGTTGCAAATATGAGAATAAAGCCCTATGAGGTAGGTCAAATTGGGCTTGGAGGTCAGGGAGTTGCAGTAATCTGCCGTTAGAGAAGAGTTGGTGCAACCATTGAGCAGTCATGCCATGTGGTCAAAGGAGGTGTTGAATATGTGGATGCTGTATATCGGAATGGCTAGTGACCATGGTTCAGTTGAGTATAGGGGGGTTCTAGTGGCATCCCATGTTCGTAATAGTAGGTCTGTGGAAGGTAGTAGGTCCGGGTTAGGGGGCCTCAGATGTGGGGGTATCCAGAATAGGTATTTCAGTCCCCTACGCGTAGTGCAGCTTTTTTTTTAAGCGCAATGCTACGCATAGAGACTTCAGACACCATGACCACTTAAAATTTCTGAAGTGGTCATGATGCTTGAAGTTACGCTTTAAATACATGTTTTTTTAGGATGAATTTAAAATAACTTTGAAATTATGCCATTCATTTAAATTATACAATATGCTGTTTTATAAATCAAGCATTCAGAAAGAATATAAATGTTTTTAGGCTGATCGCTTCAGCCATTAATCAAGTTGCCCAACAAGCAATTGTCGGTCTATTTATATATCTGTCATCTTTATATGTATGTAAATACGTACAAAATTTTTTAGAGAGCTGGAAAAAATTTCCTTCAAGGTAGACTTGTTAAATAGAACTTAAATAGAATAATGTGTTTGTATAATTCAATCAATTTAGTCATTTACTCAAACATAATTACATCTATTTTATAATTGACGCTCAAGTATTGAAGCTGCTGTCTAATGGAGTTAGTAGAATGGATGTTAGTTTTATTCACATTTAATCAGAATCAGAAGGCTGGTGGCAAACATGACATTTGTTTAGATATCCTATCTGCATTTTACAAGAGAACGCATGTAAACAACCCATGCTCCCAGTGTTCAAAGGCGGGGAAACCTAGCCTGTACCAGTCAGTGTATATTTCTTTTCCCAAAATAACTGTAGATGATATTAAAGGGTTTCTCTAACTCTTTTTCATTTAAAACATTATTCTAGCAGTCCACGCCTACAAAAATGCTCAAAGAACCTTTTTTAAAATATGTACCTTAATCTAGTGCCGGGCTGCCAATATAATGTGTCCGGGGGCAACTTGCCCCCGGTACACAATTAAAAATATCTCTGGATTTGCAAGTTGAAACACTGTACATCCTGAATCCTACAACAGAAACATAGAATGTGACGGCAGATAAGAAGCATTCGGCCCATCTAGTCTGCCCAATTTTCTAAATACTTTCATTAGTCCCTGGCCTTATCTTATAGTTAGGATAGCCTTATGCCTATCCCACGCATGCTTAAACTCCTTTACTGTGTTAACCTCTACCACTTCAGCTGGAAGGCTATTCCATGCATCCACTACCCTCTCAGTAAAGTAATACTTCCTGATATTATTTTTAAACATTTGCCCCTCTAATTTAAGACTATGTCCTCCATGACCACTTCAAAACGCAGAAGTGGTCCTGGTGGTTGAAGTAACCCTTTAACTTCAAATGAACACAAAACGTTTCTTAGTTTTACCCATCGCAGAAAGAAATGAATCCGCAATGGCTGCATCTTTGCAAAAAGAACTGAGAATGGCTGGACCCTTATTTCTTTGAAGGAAAAACTTTACTAAAAGTTGGAGAACGAAGAGGGTAGGTTTTGAAAACATTTAATGCTGGATTCCATTAACAGAGATATACTCAACTCTGCTAACAGAAAATAAGTCTTTACATTGACATCTACAGGGAAAATGCTATTTAATTACAAGAGATAAGCTTATCCCATCTAATGGAATCTAGACGGATTATTTGGGGTATACTAGCTAGTACGAATAGTGTACTGATGACGTTCTTTATACAATCTCTCGTTATTTCTGCTTCTATGCTAACATAATAGACCCTGTCTGAAATTTTGGAATATAACCAGTGGAGGAATTAATTTTGTTGCTTAAGGTACAATATATGCATACTCTAATGCTATATCCTCCTGAACTATTAGATACCTGAATTGCAGCTATAGCACTTGCTTTAGCTATTGTCAGGATTAGCCTACTCTAATACGCAAACCTAAAGGACACAGGACAGAACCACGTTACGGACCTTAAAGTGGCCGGGCCTGTGCCTAAGAAACAGAATACACAGAGTAAACCAGAAACAGTGGTACACAGAAGCAAGAACCAAATCAAGGTCAGGATTATAGAAAGCAAGAATAGTCAGACAACCTGAGTTCAATTAACAGTAAAGCACTAGACAATAACTCACTCTCGGGCGTAGAAAAACCACAACAAGACAAGGAAACAAGGACAACCGGGAAGTATATATATCCTGTACTGGGTTGTGATTGGTTGCAAAAGGCTGTGATGTCATAAAATTGTAAACATCATCAAAAAGCGCCACTGTCAACATAACAGGAGGGAAATAGAATCGTTCGGTGTCATAAATTACATCATAACGAGACACCAAGAAGCTAGGAATGAGTGGGGAATGCCTTGTGTGCATTAAATGAAGTTACATCACTGCGTAAATAGCAGAGTGACAGCTGTCTACTGACTCCTGTTTCATATGGTACATAATTCCCTCTCTTCCCTCTGACCTTCTAACCGGCCCTATTCATTTTGCGGTTCCTAATATCTGGGTGGCATTTGGTTACTTTAATGTATATTACTTTGTATCCATGGCTCCAAATGCCGAATGATCATATCGCTCACTGTATTTGGTTCTCTATCTTGACCAGTCATGATTTGCAACTTCTTTATAATACCTGTGTTTCCTATTTTGAAAAAAAAAAGAAAACACAATAAATTTCGATTTCCCCCCCAAAAAAAAACATAATATCGGTATTTTTTATCCTTTCAATGTTTTTGTAAAGGCAGAATAAATAATAACTCAAACATTTTTAGATTCTTTTTTTTTTACTTTTAATAATTTTATTGATTTATGTATCTCTAATCAGCAGTCTATACACAACATTTCTGTTTTATCCTATGTTTATGTTTATGTGCCGCATTTCCTTCGGAGGTTTGACATAAATCTTGCTGTTAGATTTTTTAAACCAAAAATGATTTATAGTGAAGGTGTTGATGAGAGTCTGGGAGTCATCCCCTTTAGTGTAGTGGTTGAAACAAAACTCCCGATAGCCTTGTTATTTAATTCCAGATATAAGCAGAATGCTGTCTACTAATAACTGACCTCAGAGCATCTACTTAACCCAGTGACCTGATTAACTTCTAATCTGTCTCTACTCTAGGAGCTGTCCGAGCATCCAGCATCTTCCCTATACTCAGCGTTGGTCTCCTGTTTTTCGGTGGTCTATGTGTTGCTGCCAGCGAGTTTTACAAGAATAAGCACAATGTTATACTCAGCGCGGGTATCTTCTTTGTATCAGCAGGTCAGTGTCCTTCATCCGGACCAAGGTCACAATAAAGGTTCTCCCCCTCTGAGACCCAGTTTGTCATGACTTTAAAAAAATAAATTGTAATAAGTAAACATTGTGCATGCATCAGAATGATTTGTGGTCTTAGTGGCGCTATAGGCAAGAGCGTTTCTATTTTACAGGTAATCAATGCAGAAATATTGACTTTTAAATATAAATATATAATAAAAAGTGCTCTTAAGTGCTTTTTTTGACAATCTAATTCATTGCTACAAAATGTTACCCAAAAAAATCTAGAGACAGTTTAGTAACTAAGCCTGATAAGGACCAGTTACGTGATAAAATATTACTAAAACAGATAATTTAAAGTAGCAATAATAAAATGAGCATTAATAAAAAGAGTTATAAGAATGGTATGGGATTAAATATATTGAGATCATATAATTCTTATAGATTTTTTGGGGGGGATAAAATCACAGTTTGTATTTAGAGCACAGAATGTAAAGTTCGGCATACCTCCCAAGTGTCTCTGTTTAGGAGGGACAGTCCCTGTCTGGGCCCAAACCTCTCTGTCACTCTTTTTGATTCTAATGACCCTCTTTTCTAGGAGCTCCATAATAATGGTGTGTTAACATAACCTAAAATTATAAACAACATAATTTATTAATATTGATAACAGTAGAAAAACATTTGTACTCTACACCCCAAATCTCCAATATGAACATACTTAAAGAAACATGCATGCAAAGGAATATTTAGACTATACAAGTGACCATACAGACAGGTCATATCTTTACAAGGTGGATCAATATTCCTTGTTGTTAACCTAGCAATCTCTTAGTATCGATCTTGCGATAGTATGATTAATAATGATAACTGGAGCATGGTTTTAGTTTGAACACAATAATGATTTCTCATTTCGGGAGCATTACTGACAGAAAAAGTTTGTAAGAGTTTTTGGAGTGTGCTCGCAATAACAGCACGCACTCAATTCCGTACGAAGAAAAGTCATCAGTCGAATACTAGAAATGGTTTGTGATCAAGGCCTTGGCTACAAATATATATTTTAAAATCATGGTATTTATGGCTTCCCGTAACATGTAGTTAAATCTATTAGTAATGGTAGTTTAATTACTTTCTTTTCTTATAGGATTGAGCAACATCATTGGAATCATTGTCTACATCTCGGCTAATGCCGGCGACCCAGGGCAGAGTGATTCCAAAAAAAGCAACTATTCCTATGGCTGGTCCTTTTATTTTGGGGCTTTGTCTTTCATTATTGCGGAGATGGTGGGCGTTCTAGCTGTGCACATGTTTATCGAGAAGCACAGGCAAATAAGAGCCAAATCTCACTCTGACCTCTTCAAAAAATCTGCTTTCTCCCGCATTCCCAGCTATCGGTACCGCTTTCGAAGGCGTTCCAGCTCACGCTCCACTGAGCCAAGATCCAGAGAACCTTCTCCAGTTGGTAAGAGCTTCCACACTATTCCTACTAGTGATATCTCCTTGTATACATTAACTGCACGCGACCCTACCAAGGTGACTGTGGGCTCCCTGCTAAATTCTGAAAGGGAACACAATTTTCTTCAAGTTCACAACTCTATCCCGAAGGACTATAAAGAATCTTTGCACAATAATCCTTCCAACAGGCGCACTACACCTGTCTGAATCCTTCTTACAGAAGACAGAAGAACACATTTAAACTGCTAGAACCTGGTGGGGAACCCAAAAGCCACCATGGAAGATGGGGGATGCTGCTTCCCTTGCAGTACCTCCAGGAAAACATTAAGGAGCATCAGGAAGATATTCACCTAACACCCTACCATCAGATGCAACAAATGCTGGAAATCGAGATCTGTGTGACTACCTGTCATGTATTGTATTAGTATTGAAAGATTAGGCCTTTAGAGATGCAGATGGATAAACAGTTGCCTGTGATTCAGGGAGGAAAAGGAAAGACATTACCAATCTATCGGCTTGTCATGAATGCCCAGAGATGATAAAGCTCCTATGAGTGTACAGAGAACGTGGGATCCTTTTTATTTTTTCCTTCGGTGGAAAACGGTTTTGCATATTCATTCAGAAGAGAATCCCACAATGAGCATTAGAGAAAATTACTATCTAATCTCTTCGATTTGTGTTGGTTCCTAATCAGGCTACAGCCAGGCGCTCATAACATTCTGCAATGGAAAATAGGACTACAGGAATAGGATTATATCCTAATAATTGTATTTCAGATAACCCACCCGTAATCATACCACAATCCAGAATAACAGGCATTTTAAAGCTTGACATTTAAAGGAATACAATCACAGGAAAAACAACAAAAAAAACATTTGTCTATTTTTTTTTCATCCACATTCCGGAATCCTACATAAGTTTTCTAAGTCACTACTTATGTTGAGTTTTTCCCCAAATAAGGTGCTTTGTAATTGACAGTAGAGATTAAGTGCTTGGAGACATTACCACGTCAGGAAAGTGAGCCTCTGGGTAGCGACACCCCTGTTAAGTGGAAACGTAGCCTCTGTTAACAGCCGCTACAGTATCTCCAATACCCTATTTACTACTTCCTCAAGAGGGAACGTTCGTCATAAGACTTTAGAAGCACATAACCAATGAGATGCTGCACCGTGATCATGTGACAGGTTACTTGAAGAGGGAGTGGATGTAAAGGCCTCAGGCATGCCTTGCCAAAAAAAAAAATGAATTAGTTATTATGTGGGAAGAGCAACCATTTGTGGGTGGGGGTAATAAACGGTTCTGTGAAAATGGCTGAATACTTTGTTCAGAACTAGGAAAAAAAATGTATTGTACTAAAAAGACATTGAAACTGCATTAACGTAGGTAAACTTTTAATTCCTAACTAATAAAACAATATTTAACTTTTATTTCCTTAATGCACATGCTGGTTTATAATGGTGATTAGGGATCGATTTAATAATTTTGAAAATTAAGGGAAATCATTTTCTCAGAGGTTACAGTAAAGACATATGTAGTGGCTGAATGAGTTGTCTTCTGTTGTTGCACTAGGGCAGGGTCCTCAAACTCTGGCCCCGCAGATGTTGCTGAACTACAACTCCCATGATATTCTGGCTATCTATGCAAGTCAAAGAATCATGGGAGTTGTAGTTCAGCAACATCTGGGGGGGGGCGGAGTTTGAGGACCCCTGCACTAGGGAATATCAACTTCAGTCTGATGGCACAGGCTTGTACTTAATGTATTTGTGGCAACAGCAAAAAAACTAGACATAAATTGTGTATTTTGAATTTTTATATAAGGTGATCTTCCCCACGCACATTCTTCCAAAGTGCTGTTTTGATAGGCGAAGGGGTGTTGGCAGGTACAGACAGTAACTATGAAAGAAGCATTAGTAAAGTAGAATGGTTAATACATACAGACATAAGTTTAGTTGGAGCCATGATATTAAATTACATTACCCCTTACTCATTCCAAACAGTCACACAAAAAAACAAAAACTAATACAATATATATAGAAATAGAATCCAACACTTTGGCCTTGCAGTGCTTCTGTTAATCAATTCCCTCAATCTCCATAAGCAAGCTTTACACAACTGAAGGCTAGATTCTATTCGATAACTAAGTTAAGTGAATAGCATTTGCCCAATTAAACTCAATAGGGAAACTACAATTCAGTTTCAAGAGAAAAGCTGATTTTATCTAATAGAATCTAGCCATAAGTACGTGTCAAAGTCAAACAAAGGCAAATAAGCCAAGTTTCTGCAAAGGATTATGGGAAAATGACATTTGTGTTCCATTTCAGACGGCGCTTTTCATGTGTCTGAGTTCAATCACACATATATATATATAAAGTCACACACACAAAGACAGTTATATGTACATGCAATCCAAGCAAGACGTTCCTGAAAAAAAGTCATTTTCTAGTCTGCAAGGCGTGTAGATTACCTTCTTGCCAAGTATGTTTGTCAAAGCAAAAAATGAAAGGCACTAAATTTTGCAAATAAAAATATATTGTAAATCGATTACCACTAACAAGGATAACATTTGAATTTAATAATGTTTGTTCCAGGGTGAGAAAACAAATGAAGTTTTGTTTTGTTGTTGTTTTTGACAGTATGTCAATGTCTGTATACGTTGCGAGAGATTTATCTGCTCTAAAAAATGTCAGAAAGGAGGAATCACCAATGGAATGTGTGATTGAGACAATGTTAGTTCTTTAGATCACAGAGCACTTTCATTTACCCCAGGGGTGGGCAACCTTCAGCACCCAGATGTTGTGGTCTCCTCTCTTGATGGTTTGCCAGCATTATGGCTGTGAGAGCATCATGGGAGATGTAGTCCATAACATCTGGAGTGCGGAATGTTGCCTATCCCCGATATAAATGCACCAACCTCATCTTCAGTTTAGTCTTCTGGATTGTCTGATACGTGTCTACTTTACAATAATTTGCCCACTGCCAGAAAAGAAGTAGATGGATATTTAAAGTTGGCATTTGTCAGCAGCCGTGACCTCAAACTGTAAGCACCTTGCATATGTCTTATTTCAGTGATTATAGGTAACACACTGCAGTGATATTCTTTTCGTTGATAAAGGGAAACAAGAATATATTCCACCCCATCGACATCAATGACAACAGTGCAATTACATCTATCCCCAGAGGAATCATTTTAAAAACAGAGACAGGGACTTTTAAAAACTTTAAAATAAAAAACAAAAAGAAAGGTAAGGAATAAAATAAGGTATAAATATTAAATACGAGCTTTCGATTTCAGACGGATCTAAAAATTTATGAAAAATATTCGATCTTTTTTCCCGAAAACTAATATCGGCAGAAAATTTAATGAATGACCACATGAACAAATCCACCACCGAACAAATGTCATGACTGCCACCTTTTGGATAAATCCATTCAGTGTCAATTTTCAGAAAATCCAAAAACCATAAATTATCAGAACGAACCAAAACTAAAATTATTTCAGAGCACGTCTTTGAAAACCGTTGAGGTAAAGCTCATCCTCTGGAGCTATTCTACATGTTCTAAACTCTAAAATGTAAAAAAATTATAAAAAATAACTTGAAAAAAATCTGAACTGTTATCAAAATATGAATACACAATATATGGACATCTTTTCACAATTTTTAGCTGAGAAAATAGTGATGTTTTAAAATGAAAATACTGAATGTGGTGATATCTAGACTGCATCTTTAAGATAAGACGATTAAATTCTGCAACGGCAACTTAATGCATGGTTTCAGGGCACATACTGATCTTGTTTATTTGGATTAGACCCTATCAGGATTATAGTTGATCAAGCATGCAGCATAATATCACACCTAGGACTAAGGATAACGTCTAACCGGACCTTAGAATGGCCAGACTTAATGTACCTGAGAATAGTCAAAATACTTGCCGAGGTCAGGGACACAGAATGAGACACGATGATGAGGAAAGCCAGAAGTCAAGGATACCAGATTTCAGGGAAGTCAAAACGAAGCCAAAGTCAAATACCAGAAAACGCAATCAGGAACGCACTCTCAGATAACCAGCTAGTGGAAACCACGACAGGGCACTGACAAAAAGGTAATTTGGGTTTAAATAACACTCCTTAGGCTGTAATTGTCTGTCTCTGACCCCAAAACGTGCATGCATGTCTATGATGTGACGTCACACGCACGTTGACGCCATCTTTGATGTGGACAAAGTTAGTTTCCTAGAAAAATCTGAACCTCAGCGACCGGTGTTCCTAAGAACGTCGCACCCCCTGGGGACCAGAACAGAGGGAGACCGGGCAGCTGCCCGCCGGGACCAAGGTAAGTCAGAAATATCTCTGGCTCTTCAGCAATAATACTCCCAGTAATGTGTCTTTAATCTACAATAATCACTATACGGGTAGTGGAACTGCACTCAGCCTTTCGTTCTGGAATCCTACGGTGCTCTTGGATCAGTCCCAGTACCAAAGAGACCAAATATATAGTATAATTGTAGAAAGTAATCCAGGCACTCCAAATGTTCCAAAAGATAGGCAATTTAATGGACCCAAGAACCAAAAAACAACGTTTCGACCCCTTAGGGCCTTTGTCAAGCTACTGAACACATTTCTTACAATCAATATATAGGTGCATAAAATAATTAACAAGTGATAAAACATGTGAACTAGTACAATTAATTAATTACATAATCAAACAATAATAGTTAAACAATTATCAAACATAATCGTCTCTCCAATCATAAATCTGTTTACAAATAAGATACATTATTCATATTTTAAATTAAAATGTAGTTGCATAAAGTGTTATTAGTAAGTCTCCTAAAATTTCTCAGAGCAACGTTCTGAGTGTCCATTTGAAATATTTGGGAGATATGTTAGACGCATGCACTGCTATCACTGTTCTGCCCAGGTGCCCATGTGATGTGCACATATACAGTACATCTAAATTACTGTACGTGCAGACACACATGCACATAATGAACATCGGAGCATGACGTGCAGAAAAAAAAAGAGAGAGCGAGAAAAAAAATGCGAATATGAGAATATTGTTTTGCCTGCAGCAGAAAACTCACAAGTTCCCAAAACCCTTACCCAGAAGAGTAACAATTTGCTTGTTACTGGAATGCATTCCTGGAACCCCTCCTCAGTGCCAGCCTTGAGAATCATTTTTTCCTCTACTGGGGAAAAAACAGGATCATCTAACAGCCGTCAGCTGCCAAAATGCCATTGAACGCGATAACAATAGTGTGATTTGTATTTATCATTCAGATTGTCTTATTTTCATGCTTTGTTTAAGTGTAAAAGCAGGCAAGATTTTTCTTTTGTAAGGGTCTAGCAAACAGGATGGTTTTCGGCAAACAGCTCTGTGTCTTTGAGCCAGCTGTTTATCCCATATGCTGGCCCAGGAGAGTGCCTCTTCAATCATCAGCCAAGATACCCCCTCCCCTCGCCCACCCAGCTCTGCTATGTTTTGGCTTCTAAGCCCTTTGTAATTGCCCCAAGCTGTTTGATTCTTGAGTTTTTGGAATATGACGGATGATATTGAAGGAGGTTTCCATCACATTGCACGTGAATAAACAAATTGTATTTGGAAAGGAACGTCACACTCAAAAGAATTTGTAGAAGGTGTTGGATTAAAAATTCTTCCACTCATCGTCAAATGTCTGCACGAGAGGCATCAGTGAACACATATCTGAAAACCTTGATCTTTTACCCAGGGTCGATTCAGGAGTCTATCCCTCATTTGGAACAGGTCACTGTTATATGATCCTACTTGTCCTTCTTACAGACTGCTCCAGTCACCTACAAAAATGTATCTTGTGAAATGTGCTATTAAAGATAACAGATTTTTTTATTTGTTTTGTAGCATAACAAAAGATGTATTATTTTTATGAAAAATTCAACAACAGTTACAACTAAGCTCCATAAAAATTTGCAGCATCTGTGAAGAAGGTTATGGGATGAAACAAAAATTTGTATGTTTTCCATAAACCCCTGATTACTGATTTCTAAGAGACATCGTTGACAGGCATATGCCGCAGCAAAGACCAGCATTACAGAAATATACATGAAAATCGCTGATGCAAATTAATAGCAGTCTCTAGTGCAGGGATAGGCAATCTTCGGCACTCCAGATGTTGTAGACTACATCCCCCATAATGCACTTACACCCATAATGCTGGCAAAACATCTGGAGTGCCGAAGGTTGCCGGGCGCTGGGGAACTCTCCTCCTACTGCCGATGTCAGCACCGAATGCGCATTTGCGCGTCAAAAGCCGCTCGCGCATTCAAACCTCCCATAGGAAAGTATTACTCAATGCTTTCTTATGGACATCCTGCGTGCTCAATGTGATTTTCGCATTGAGGATCGCGAAAGTGGCCTCTAGTGGCTGTCTCCCTGGATTAACCCTCAGTGTAGAGGCTGCTGGATTAAAACTAGAGGGACCTGGCACCCAGACCACTTAATTGAGCTGAAGTGGTCTGGGTGCCTATAGTGGTCCTTTAACAATAGTGCAACCAGTTAAAGCGGCTCAATCACCTTATGGGGTCTCTGCATATTTTGTGAGGCTGTTTTACTTACGTGAGGCTGTCCCACATGGCCACCGCCATCTTCACCATGGGACCCTCTTCAGCTCCTTGTCCTTCATCTACCAGTAGCGTACATCAGTGCGGTAGTCTCACACATGCAGAAGAGTACAACACTGATTTCTATGGGGGAACCTGCGGAGGATAAGGGAAATGACCAAACTTGACAGTGATAGCCCCTTTTCAAGCTTTGCCAAGTGTGGTTAAAACAGAAAGTAGTTGGTTGTGCATTCTCCACCAGTAAATACTTTCTTTCAATGCTTACGTTTTTTTAAATAATATATGTCAAAAATAAAAATAAAAAAATACATATTTTGGCTTGTGTTGGAAAATATTGCCAAAGGCAGGAAGGTTGAAATGCATTTTTTTTTTTTTTTTTTTAAAACACCCTAACAACAGCAAAACTATTCTGAAAAAAATGGTAACGAAACATTGACATTTCAGAATCCATTTTGATTCATGCAAAGGTGGTTACAAATAGAAGATCTCATTTAAATAATATCAAAAGTGGGATTTTTTCATAGAAATAATATATTGGGGGGAAAGAAAAATCTATTTATCTGCAGAACACCTCGTTTTCTTTAGCATAATGCAGGAGGTGAGATGGGTTATTGTTTCATTACTTATCAGTTGTGGTTTTTATCATCTTGATATCTCCATTTGGCATCATAACCCCCACTTCATAGAACAAAAAGCAGCTTGCAACAAAGTGCAGAGCATGTATACAATCTACAGCTGTGGTGATTAGAATAGCAATCTAGTCTGACAAGGGATATTCAGTATCTTGTTACCAACAGCCAATACCATAAGACAGCCAAGATTCTGCACACAGTAATAGCAGGAACTCATCAGGAGAGGTTCAAACTGGAAAGCGTATCTTTTCCAAACTGAGAAAGATAAATGCATCATTTGCCTCTAACAAAAACAAGGCTTTATTATATCAAAGTTTGGATACACATTCACCCATCTTCAGACTGAAATATTTTCTCTGTATTAACACCCGTCAACATCGTCCACAAAGCGTTTCCCGATAATGAATGCCAAATTATTCTGTCTACATAAAGGTTTAAAAAAACTGATGGAATTTGTTTGATTGTGACTGGAATCTTAACCCCTTAAGGACACATGACATGTGTGACATGTCATGATTCCCTTTTATTCCAGAAGTTTGGTCCTTAAGGGGTTAAACATAGTATGAGAGCATTTATCATGTGGATCAAATGCCAAGGGTATCCATCCATCCATCCATCCACCCACCTATCTATCTATCTATCTATCTCTATCTCTCTCTCTTTATCTATCTATCTCTCTCTCTCTCTCTCTCTGTCTATCTCTCTGTCTGTCTCTCTGTCTGTCTCTTTGTCTGTCTATCATCTATCTCTCTCTTTATCTTTATCTATCATCTCTCTCTGTTTATCTATCTATCTATATCTATCTATGTGTCTGTCTGTCTATCTATCTCTCTGTCTGTCTCTTTGTCTGTCTATCATCTATCTCTCTCTTTATCTTTATCTATCATCTCTCTCTGTTTATCTATCTATCTATATCTATCTATGTGTCTGTCTGTCTATCTATCTATGTGTCTGTCTGTCTATCTATCTGTATGTCTATCTATCTAGCTATATATCTATGTGTGTCTGTCTATCTATCTGTCTGTCTGTCTATCTCTCTATCTATATGTCTGTCTGACTATATATTTATCTATCTATGTGTCTGTCTGTCTATCTCTCTATGTGTCTGTCTGTCTGTCTGTCTGTCTATCTCTCTATCTATCTATCTTTCTATCTATGTGTCTGTCTGTCTGTCTATCTATCTATCTATCGCCAAGGGTATCCATCCACCCACCTATGTATCTATCTACCCTTCTATCTATTTATCTATCTATCATCTATCTGTAACTATAGTATCTGTCTGTCTATCTATCTATCTTCCTCTTTCTCTCTCGTTATCTATCTATCTGTCTGTCTATCTATCTATCGTCTCTCTCTCTTTCGTTATCTATCTATCTACCTATCTGTCTGTCTGTCTATCGTCTCTCTCTCTTTCGTTATCTATCTATCTACCTCTCTGTCTATCTATCTATCATCTATCCATCCACCCACACACTTACCCATCCATCTATCTCTGTTTGTGTGTCCGTATTTCTATCTAGCCTCTCTATCCCATCCACCTGTGCATGCATGAACCCCGAGCAAATTGAGGGGGGGCCACCTTTTACTAATAAAACCCAATGCCTACCTTACTGAGAGAACGTACTTCATACTGGATGGATATGGTGCTTGGAGTGTCCCTTTAATGTTTCTGTAATAAATTCATGTTATTTTCAAAATCAAGGTTTTTTTTTTAGAAACCCTCATTTCATCAGTTCAGAATCCTTACAAATAGATGAGCTGACACTGTTATGATGCAAATAAAGGACCACCACCCACCACTGCTCGGCAGTGAGAAAGAATAGTAAATAATTATATTGTGATTATATCAGGAAGGATAGGATGCCAGCAAGAGAGGCAGATGGCAAAATTAAAAGGCTGAGAGGAAAATGAGAAATCAGAATATACATAACTCCACAGCACTGCTGCGCAACAAGGAGACCTGAAAATGAACCTGCTTAGAGAAGTTAAAACTGCTATTTTAATTCTGTATTCAGATACTGCAATAAATAAATAATTAAAAAAGATTAAATCGTTTTCGCGTTAGCAGCAAATTCCTGCAGTTACTTTGTAGCTACAGCAGTGAGATCACCTGAAACCAGGAAGCAGCTCAGCCAATCCTGATGCTCCTATTGTTTTCAGTAGATATGACGCATATACATTCACTGAGCATTCATTTCTTTCAGGAACTGCTGCCTAAGCTTATTGTAGCCCATGGAGCAGCGTAGCTAAGGGGAGTGGGCCTTGACATTGCCAGGAAACAGGCCATCTAAAGGTCAGTGGTCAGGGATTGGTCTTAGGAAATGGTGGGGTGGAGTTAAAAGGGGGAGTATAAGTAGTGGCCATTTTAGATCTAGGGATCATTTTAATCTAAGTTGCACTTACCTGTTGTTGTCCCACCCACCCTCCTTTTGCTTTCAGGTGTTTCCCGTTTGGTCACGGCGGCGGGGGATGGAGAGTAAAGTTGGGGGGAGAAAAGAGTGAGATGGGGAAAAAGTTTGGAGTTCAGGGCTAATAGGTAGGCCTTTGGACTGGTTTGGTAGGTTCGAGCTCGTAGGTAGCTCCAAACCGGGGTGTATAAGGGTGTCTCGGTATGCCCCTACACTTGTGGTGCCCTTTGGTGGCAATGGATGGTGCCCTTTGGTGGCAATGGTCATGTTTCATGTTAAGTAAAATGTTACAATGTTTGGGTATTATGTTATGTGGGGGTGGGTCATTGTCAGGGGGTTAAATTGTAAACTGCAGGATGGTAATTGTGCAGGCCATCATTGGCCTGCTGTTGACAATGACCTTTATAATTTATGTTAAATATCAAATAAAGCTGTGATATAATTTTGCCAAAACCATGGTGTCAGTGCTTTATTGGGAATTGGGTATTTGGTGGGGGTTTTAAGCAAAGGCCGACAAGGCGACTGTGCACATGTCAAGCAGCTTAACAGTTTTGTGGATGGAGCTACAGACACAATCACAGCGCATTTCAGGGAAAGTAAGGACTTGTCGGGTTCTCTTTCGAAATTAAATAAAAGACAAGTTTAGTATTGTTATACAGACTCCAGCAACACATGTGGTTAAAATAACGATTAACTCTCTCCTGTAGCTGAACTAATGTAGGGGGCCATTCTAGCGAAAGAGTGGAGGAAAATATAGATCCCCATCTACTGTACAACTCCCATGATGCAATTGTTTTAGTATGTAACGTTTGCGTTTGAGTCCATTGGTGTATTTTGATGTAGTGTTGGCTTCTAAAGGTAAATGTACATTTGTGTGTAGTATTGGTGTTTGAGTGAAGGGGTGTGTTTGTATATAATTTTGGAGTTTCATTGCAGGGGTGTGTTTGCATGTTGTGTTGGTGTTTGATTGTTGACATACACTACCACATACATAAATACTTACACAGATACCCATATACATTAATACACAGATACACACATAAACACACTGACACATACATTCATATACATGCTGACACACACACATAGACACACAGATACACACACTGACACATGCACACATGTTGGCACATAACCACACCTTGACACAAGATAAACACACTGACACATACACAAACTGGCACACAGATACACATGGTACATACACTGGCACATACACAAACTGGCACACACATACACACACTCAGATACACATTGACATACAGATACACATACACTGATATGAACACATACATCTTGACACACCGATACACACACTTACACACACATACATATCATAATTTTTTAACATACTGTGTTTTAATGAGGTAAAGATGACACAATAACAGTGTACAGTTGTGCATAACATATGGAGATATAGTCGGACAATAACATAGCACAGAATAACAACCTCATTTTTGTTTTCTTTTCAATAAGAGGACTTAACTTGTTAGCCAAACTGCTGCGGAGAGAAACAAGAGGGACCATATCCTAGGGATACTCAGAATAGTATTATCACAACCATGCAAGCCTATGTTGTTTTGATCTGTGTTATGAAACAATGTGTATATACCGCTACTGTAATGAAAATGGAAATTAAAAAGGTATCACCGTCTAGCAATCATGTGTAAGCTAGAATAACATGGCAAATGTCAGTGAAAGATTATATAAGTAAATCAATAAGGCGGCTAGGTGGTGAGTTATGATGAATTGTAATTTTTGTCAACTGAGCCTTGCAAAATGGGGAGTAATAATAGATATAGTAGGCATTGACAGGTAAACACGAAAAGTCTAATCCTGCTCTAGTAGGTTAAGACACGCTAGGCTTAGTGGGTCGTCTAATGGTTTTGCCCCTGACCAAGAGGTTAGTGGGGGATTTGGGGGGAGTGGGGGTAAAAATACAATAATTGGTTTGTATAGCAGACTTAAATTGCTCTAACAGGTATAAATGATAATTAAACTGGTTTTGGGTAGTAAGACTCATCAATAGTAGGAGAAACCATCTGGTAACTATCTGGTTACAAAGAAGAGACATTAAAATTAAAAAGTCAGAAGATGTCATGGAGCAAAAGTAGGTGACTAGCTGCTCTGAGCCCATGCGTTTTCCCTCTGCAGTCCATTCACGTTCCAGAGTGGGCTTCCCAAAGCCCACTCTGGAGTGTAACAAATAGCGCAATGTTAGCAGGATCCAAGTTTGGAGATGAATGGGGCTGAGATTTGCCAACATTCAGTGGAGGTAGGTAAAGTGCCCTAAAGAGTGTGGAAGCTTCTGCAACAGTTGAGAGTCCATGTACAGTTCCACGATGAGATACCAACGGGGAACTCAGGGGGCCCCATCAATAGGCAACTCCAGCCTCTAAAAGCTTAGTTGTTACCATGTTGAGTGACCTGCGCCACTGAAGCATAGCTCTAGTGAGGTCATGGAAGCACTTTCTCAGCTGCCATTGTGTGCTATGGCTGATGTTGGAATGTCAATGTCAGCTGAGACACCAGTCGTTGGCTTCTGATTGCGACATCTCAGGTTTTGCAGTAGCCAAAGCAGGCAAGGTGGGTATCGCTGGGGCGGGAGAGCCATTCATGTGAAGGCCATCGAGGAACGAAGCAAACCCATGCACAGGATGTGAGTAGCAGGACGCAGGCCTGCGTTCTGCTCTGGAAATCTTTGTGGTGTGAAAGAATGGCAAGAGTCAGATGAGCATGCCACTGAGACACACTGGTGGGGTAATTCAAAGTGGTAAAGCACCAGTAGCTTGAGTAATTTGTAGTTATATTAAGAAGGCAGTCGGAGCTGCAAGAAATGGGGTCCGCGCTCATTCACTAGCAAGTTCCACCCCTACATGTCATAATTTTTATATCTGTAGCCACCCTCCAGTTAGAATACGGTTTGTCTGCAGGAAGGATGGCTTGCTTGAGACGCTGCAGGCTGAGGCTGATGTGTGTGGGCTCTGCAGCAGTTCAATCCTTCTGTCTGTCTCTTCCCTGTTCCATGTGGCCTCTCTCCCTACTGCTCAGTGCTCTCTGTATGAAGCTGGGAGGAAGTGACAGACTGTCACTTCCTCCCAAGCTGTCACTTCCTCCCAAGCTATCACTTCCTCCCAAGGGGCCTGTGAAATAAACCCTAAAAGTTGTAACAGCTTATCATGGACAGCTTTGCATGTTTATTTTTATATTTTAATCAGAAGGTAACCAGAGAGACATTGTATGCTAACCATGATAACAGTACTAGCTGAATAAATTGACAGGTACATGTGACAGTTGGAGGGAGACTGTTGGAATTTTTAAAATCGATGACACAGGGCCCGGGCCCGAATTTAAAGGACTATGGCACCTACCCCTGCTCCTGTTAAGCAATATCCATAAGGTGGCAGTGAGTGCATGGGCCACCCAATAGACGATGAACCGGAGGTAGTTCTGTTACTGGCTCTCTCACAGGATCACATAATATAGATCACATTGCAGCCTGATGTGTAACTTGTACTGTCTCTAAAAAAAACCTTTATGTTTATGTAATAGAAATATAGATTTTTTTTTTATTGTTAAAAGAGCATTATCAATTTGGTCAAAGAAGAGGCAACACACATATATTGTGACCATAAAACTCCACCCATGCAATTTAACTTTAAAAAAACAAAACTATTAAGTGATTAAATGAAATGTAAAAATCCATGAGAAAGAAAAAGGTTGAAAATATATAGATTATCACGTACATTTATGCTTCATAAAAGATATTTGGAAAAAATTGGCCAACTCGTTTGTAGTCACAGCTGTGCTCCTTTAGCGGAAATTTAAAAGTTTGGTTTAAAATTCCCTGTAATTTGGTTTTAATGAATAAATTGCGGAGATGACGGAAGAACCCTAAAATGCAGAGAAAGATTTTAGATATTAGGAGGACAGTAGGGCTTGTTCTCAAGTCTAAAGAAATCATTTCACGCCATGTCTCATCAAATGGTCCAAACCTGTCCAGTAGCATTTCTTCAAAAGAGTAAAAGCAGCGTGAAATTGCGTCATATTAACAATCAAAGCAAGTAGCAAACATTTCATGCGTATTCCCACTTCACAATACACTAATTAACAATACAAACAAAAGAGAAGGTGTTGTACAGGATAATTTAAGTTTTGATGAGAGATAAGACTTTAAAGATTTCACATATGATGTAGAAATTGCAATAAAACCAGTAGTTAGTGATGGAGGTTGAAGAAATGAAGAAAATACTGTGAACCAGGAACAAATAATCTTATAAATAAAGGTGATCTGATGGTAAGACAAAGAAGGATTTATAAGAATATTGTAATTTTACTAAAATAAATGCAGAATAAAGGGTATTCAAATAAGAATACATATAATAATTAAAATTTAAATCACTAAAAGATTCCAGTTTTATGTGTATAAAAATAAGGAGGAGCCTCTGAATGGTTGATTATCTCAGGAATTGGTTCTATATTAGCAAAATTATCAGAATATTTTGATATACAACTGCAACACGCGGTAAAGACTTGCCCTGCCTATTTAACGGGACACTATAGTCACCTGAACAACTTTAGCTTATTGAAGCCGTTTTGGTGTATAGAACATGCCCCTGCAGCCTCACTGCTCAATCCTCTGCCATTTAGGAGTTAAATCCCTTTGTTTATGAACCCTAGTCACACCTCCTTGCATGTGACTTGCACAGCCTTCCATAAACACTTCCTGTAAAGAGATCCCTATTTAGGCTTTCTTTATTGCAGGTTCTGTTTAATTAAGATTTTCTTATCCCCTGCTATGTTAATAGCTTGCTAGACCCTGCAAGAGCCTCCTGTATGTGATTAAAGTTCAATTTAGAGATTGCGATACAATTATTTAAGGTAAATTACATCTGTTTGAAAGTGAAACCAGTTTTTTTTTCATGCAGGCTCTGTCAATCATGGGGGGTGTGGCTAGGGCTGCATAAACAGAAACAAAGTTATTTAACTCCTTAATGACAGTGAATTGAGCAGTGAAATTGCAGGGGAATG